CTAGTTTGGTTGCCCCATCCACCAGAAGCACACTTGAATTTCCCTCTGCCTTCTCTGACCTCAAGATCCTGGGTTGGACTCTTGCTTGTCTCTCAGGTCACCTGTTGAAACTGCAGGGTGAGGCCGGGGCTGGGGCTGGAGAGGGGCAGAGAGGGGGCAGCACACGCTGGTGTTTATGTTCCAGGGCTCTCACCATTTGTAAAGACTGTCTGTACTATGGGTCTGGCTGCCTCATCAGAATACTTTTCCATACCTGCCTCTCACTCTCTTTGAAAGAACAGTTACAAGATGTCCATTCTTTTGCATTTTTCTATTCATGATCCTCTAAACGTTCCTGAGTGAAAATATCAGGTGACCGAGAATGTTTAATATGTCCTCACCTGTGCCCACCTAAGCATACTACAGGGGTTTCTGGGAGATGCTGGGAGTCACTGGAAGTGGTTGGCAGAAGAGGGGCTGTGTGGTCAAAGCCCCTTTTTCTTTAGTCACCTTCTATCCATATACTGTACCCCTACCCACATTTTACCTTTTCATCCTTTTGAGGGCCCGAGGGTAGCAGGCCTTGAGTCCCCATTCCATTCAAAGCTTATACAACATCTAACGATTTCTACTCCTTGGTCAAAAATACACACTGGTGCTGAGGAAAACAGGGTCTAGAGAATACTCATATCTAAGAAAATCTTGGAAAACAATGAGTTAAACAGAATAGAGATGATGATGGTGGCATTGAGGAGTCTTATTTGCTCAGGGGTTTCTATACATGTTCTCATTGCATCAAACCCTGTGTGATAGGCACTGTTTTTGTTCTCTTCTTAAAGACAGGGATCTAAGCTAATTGAGTAGCAGGAAGGTTGGGGATGCCAGCCCAGTTGAGACCACCCACCAAAGCTGTGCTCAAGCCCCTCGGCCAGGATTTGATTGGCTGGAGCCCGGAAGGGAAGCTGAATCGCTTCCCAGACCAGAAATGCATTTCAGCTGTTCTCACATTTCAAGTCCTAATGATGGGCTCAGAAAGCCCTGTACACTTCTCAAAGGGCAACTTCTGAGCATTTGAATGTTTTCTATTGAAGATTCCAGTCTTAACCCATTCACAAAAAGTTAGCAGCACTCTCTTGGCCGTAGCTCTAGCTGTATTCACCACACAGAAAAGGGAGCGTCACAAAGGAGCTGCCAACACTGGGGGACCAGAAAAAGTCCCAGGGTTAGCTGGACTTGTCAGCTGGCAGGCAGTTCTCTGAAAGAACCCCAGGAATTGCTCCCACCACCCAGAGCTGCCTTTTCCTGTAGTAACTGAGCTTGCTGTGCGCTGGCTGCCATATGCATTGTGCCACTGAGCCCTCCCCACTGGCCCGGAAGTATCTGTAGGTCCTGTTGATAACACTGTTGTTGAAAAGCCTGAGACATGGAGGTAAAGTCATTCACTTGTCACTCAGAGGCAGAGGTGGGGATGAACCCTATTTGTCTACAAGGTTGGCCTCTTAATTCTGAAAGGCTCGGCTGTGATGTAGGAAGTGGACCAGCCTGGGCCATGGTCACTGTCACACTGTGCCCTGGAAAGAGCTTCCAGAGCATCAAGGGTCAGGAGGCCCATGACATGGGCCAGGCATGTCCAGCACTGAGATTTTCTCAGGCTTTTATATCAAGCCTCATGTATTAGTAAGGAAGTATGATTAGATTCTGGAAAGCTCTGCTTGGTGAAGAGGTGTTCAGACACCAAAACAACATTGGAGTGTGTCTGTCTGTCTGTCTGACTGTGGGGAGTGTCGTTCTGGAGCTCAAGGTGAATAATTTCATCCTCCAAGGCCTCAACCCATCCTTCTTTATGAACCGCTGCTGAGGTTTTATACAGGAGACTTTGGAAAAGTGAAGGCTCCTTGTGAAAATACTAAGGGTGAAACTTAAATTTCGTTTTCTTTGAATTTCCATTTAAAAAATGAAAATATATTCCTAGGAAGGAGTTGATGCCAAGAAAGATGTATACAGGTTCCCTTTAGAATCTAGCAAAATTTTGGAATTTATTTTTACCCCTGAAAACAGGAGCTTTTCATACCATATTAAGAACAATCCTTAAAAGCAAACCCTTCCCCCTGGGATGAGCACCCCAAGAGCAATGGTGAGTGGAGGTGGGGTGAGATGGGGTGTTGCAGAGAGCAGGGCTGGGAGGGTAGGTCTGGGTGGGAACCCACTTTCTGCAGTGGAGCAGCCCTCTGTCAGCCTCCGTTTCTTATCTCTGGGGCCCTGACCCCTCCAGGCTGAAGTGGGAGGAAGTGTGAGCTTGTGGAGCAAGTGCAGCCAGAGGGTCCGTGCTGCATATTCTATGAGGGAGACCCACAGTGCTGTTGTGATTGTGGCTGTGGTTCTTGTCCAGGCTCCCCTCCCTGTGAAGTCCACAAACTTGCAAGGCCCCAGCTGTAGCTCTTCTGGGGACCCTGACACAGGTTTAACTGGGCCATTACAGATCTCCCTCTATGGAAGGATTCTAGTGCCAAACCAGCTGGCACAGCCTCTGCATTGTGCATGAATGAGGGGGCCCATGAATAATGCATGCTGTGCTGATTATGTAAATCCTCAGGTTTTCTTACATTTCCAGCCAACACTCCACAACGGGCTTTGGGAGGCCTTTGTTGTCCCGTTTTGTGGTTTGGTGTCTCTGTTTGGGGCTCTGGGCTGCCAAGTCCCAGAAAGCACCTCAGGAAGTTGTGGGCTCCCCAGAGGGCACATCAAAGGACAAGTCAGACCTTGGTGCCGCCCCAGCTCCCTCAACAGGGCTTAGGGCAAAAGGACCCTGTTCTTCACCTGAGGCAACCCCGAGACACACACATGCTGAGGCCAGTGATGTTTAATTCAGAGCTGCAGTGCCAGAAAGGCCATGTCCTAGCAGGATGGGTGGTTTCATTCTGGGGCTGAGAGCCCCAGGTAGCCTGCTGTCTGGAGGTCTGCAGGGAGGAGGTGGGCTGCTGCGGGACCTCACCTGAGAGCGCTTCCTGGATGGGAGGCACCTTACTATGGGGGTCTGGCTTCCTCAGAGACCAGGCAGGTGACACACGCGGTCACACACACACACACATGCACACACAGTCACACATGTGCAAACACGTACACATACAGTCACACACATGCAAATATGGACACATAACACACACCCAAACATGCATATACACAGCCACACACATGCAAACATGCATACACAGTCACACATACTGCACACACAACCACACACATGCACAATACATTCACACACATGCAAGCACGCAGTCACATATAAACATGCATATGCAGTAACACCCATGCAAACATGCACCCAGCCACACATGGATACATAGTTATACACGTGTAAACACACAGAGTCACATACATGCAAACAGGTACAAACATGTGTCAATGCACACACATGCAAGTGAACACATGTATGTCCAAAGTAAAAATAACGTAACAATTACAAGGGGGACCCTAGCAGACAGGCCCTCAGACAGCCCTGGAATCAGGGTGGGAAGTGTTTGGGGTCGGGTCCCAGCCCTGCCTAGCAGCCACAGTGAGAGATCTCTGGCAAGGCCCACTTTCCTGTCCATAAGGCAGGACTAATCGAACCGGTCAGGCAGTCTGGGAGAGGCGTTAGTAAACCTGTCCACTCCTGCAGAGCCTGGACACACCCGTGTCCATCTGTAGATGGCCAGGAAGAGGTGGTAGCTGTGGTTATTGTCCTGTTGGCCTGACCCCAGCCTTGAGATCTGCTCTGTTTTAGGAAGAGTGAAAGCAAACCGAGGTGCTGATTCTATGGAAAAGTCAACATTCTGGTGCTCAGCTGAGGGCCGGCCCAGAACCATGCTTGTGGAGTAAGGAGTGGACAGATACAGGTATAACTGCAAAGGAGATGAAGGAGCCCCTCTGCTGACCAAGCTGCAGACACAGGGCTGCCAGGGAGCGTCTGAAACTGGCCAGGTGCTGTCCACAAGTGCCCAGCTGTGTGGGACTCACTCAAGAGCACATCTGCTGGCCACTGGCAATATAGGGTAAGGCAGGGTACACTCGCAAAATCCAGGTGCTCCTCAGGGTGCTCCAGAGACAGTGCAGGTGCCCCTCACCACCTGAGACCACCAGCTGCCAGGTCAGCCAGCAAGGATGCGGTAGTGAGGGAAATCTGTGCTGTAGTTAATCCTCACACAGCCCTGTGATGCAGATGCTGATGGCTGCCTTGTACTGATGAGGGAGGCAAGGCTCTGAGAGAAGAGACTTGCACAAGATCCACAGTTAATAAATGGGGGGATTTGAATCCAGGACTGATCCCTGTACCGTGTGACAGGTGGACACCAAGATGAGGGAGGAGAAGGCTTCTTTTGGCTGAGTAACCTGCCTGAGTCAGGACTCTTGGTTTTCTCAAGCCAACCCAGGCCTGCCAGCAATGTCAGCCTCACGCCTCTCCTCTGGGTCCCTGCCTGCAGTGGGGAAGCCCTCCCTGACATTCCTCCCCGGATCACACAGCCCAGCCACCCTTCCGACGTAGTCCCGAGCCCATGACATCAGCTAGCTGTCAGTTCTACCTGCTTGTGGCACACAAGAGGATATGCTCTTCAAAGACACCATTCATTGAGCTGCTGTCCATCTATCCATTCATCTGTCCATCCATCAACCTGTCCTTCTCTCTGCCCTTCCATCCATCCATTTGCTAAATACTTATTGGGTGTCTACTATGTTTCGGGCACTCAGAATAGTGAACCCAAATCTCTGCTCTCAACGTATTCATCTGTGCATCCTTAGTGAATGATAAAAATATGAATAAATGTCATCATTTAAAAAATACAGATGAGCATCTAGTCAGAGAAGTTAAGAAACCTGCCGAAGTCCACACAGTAAAGTGGTAGGGTGGTGGTCTAAACTTAGCTCTGTCTGCTGTCAAAGCTCTTTTGCCACCCGTGTTTGGATCAGAAAGTGCATCTCAGTCTGGACCCCTGGGACCTCCAAAGCCACATCTAAGGGCCCCCGAGCTGAGCCGCTGCACCTACCTTCTGCTGCCTGGTGGCCCTGTTGAGGCTCTTCTCCTGCTGCAGCTGCTGCTCCATGCGCTCCAGGGCCTCCTTCAGCAGTGCCTTCTCCTCGGCCTGTTTGTAGATGTCGTCCTCCAGCTTGGCCACCTGTGACTGGTACATCTGAACGGACACTTTGCTCTGCCTGGGTGCATGGAGAGAGGGGGTTCCTTTTCCCCTCAGCATCCTCATCTGTCAATGTTGTATCAGTGGCCTCTGCAAATACTTCCACACTGGGGAGTGTCCTTACAAGGGGAGCCTGGGACAAGGATTTGTGGTGGCGCAGAGGGCAGAGCACACAGCACAGGAGCTAGATGTGGTCTTGTGGCAGGGTCTGGGATGTGCTACCAGCCCCACCCAAGTTCTGGTGGGGACCTGTGTGTGACTCTTGGGAAAGTGATGGAACCATCAAAGCCACACAAGTGTTGACCACAAGTCAAGGATGATAACAGTGCTGCACATTCAGGACACACAGAGAGGGAAACCGAGCACCCCAATTGCTGTGTTCTCATGGACAGGCTTGCCCCATCTGGCCTGGTTGCTGTCCCCCCAGTAGCATGATTATTTCACACCCAGCCTTCTGTCCTCCTGTCCAAGCCCCAGGTGTTCGCTACTGTCTCTGCTTAGCAGGAGAGGGGACCCGGCCTTCCGGTAGTTCCTGGGCAGTACCTGAGCTGCTCGATGTCCTGCTCGTACCCCTGCAGGAGCTCCTCTTTCCTCTTCAGCCGGCTCTTGAGCTGCGTGATCTTCTCAAACACCAGGTCCAGGTCCCTTTGTCGCAGCTGGTTGACTTTCTCCCTCTCTTTGGGGGAGAGGTGCTTCATGGACATGCGGCCCGACATGTCCTTGATGTTCATCAGGCTTCCCAGCGTTTGGCTCATGTCCATGTACTGCAAGCAAAGTGGTGACAGGGGATGAGGTGCTGCCAAGACCAGGATTGGCCGATTTAAGTCAGGCCACAGCTAATTCTTCTTCATTCACTGTCTGCAACCACAGAGAGCAAACAAATGCTTTGGAAATGAGTGAAATTGGGGTGTTCCTTTCCCCACCTCCACTTGCATGCACCTTTATGAGAAGAACCAGGGGGTAAAATGACAACAGATGTAAACAGTCATTCTAACTACTCGAGCTCTCCAGGAATTTGGCTGTGCCATTTCTTTCTTTCTTTCTTTATTTTGAGTTGTGCAATTTCTGACCCATGATGGGTAGTAGATGTGTCTGCAAAGTTAGTAAAACAATGAAATAGGCATGTGAGGTCGATATTTAGTGAACTATCCCGTGGTTAACAGTGACCGCAGGGATCCAGGCTTTGGGCAGGAGAGGGTGGATGCCCTGTGCACATACCAGTTTTTCACTGAGCTCTAAGGCCTCAGCCATGTCCGTTTTCCCTGACTTCTCCATGGTGGAGCTGGACCCTGAGTTGGTAAGGCCATTCTGAAATAAAAAAGCAATCAGAACTCTCTCAGCCATCCATGATGAATTTCTGCAACCAGAAGCTAAAGCACTGCTTGACTACAAGAGGAATAGTTCAAAAGACTTGATTTATTTTGGTTCCTGACCAATTGGCTGGGGCCCTTTGTCAATCCCTTTCCTATAACTGTTTGAACCCTTCAGAGGCGGCTCCGAGACATGCGTGGCTGGTCTCCCTTTCTTTTCCATTAAGTTTAGTGGTACATTTTAGGTATACAATACAGTTACATTCATCATTGGGATCTTGTACCTGTACATGATGTATCTTGGTTCTTATTTTTTCCCCATTCCCCTGCCCTCCCTTCACTGCCTCCACCCTTCCCTATTTACAGAAACTTTGTTTCCATGTTTTTCCTTTTCTCATATTTTTTCTTTTCCCTTCTTTCCTTTCTCCTCCCACTTCCCCTATTCCTTTAGACATTTTCTTCTTATTTCACAACATCGATTATACATTTTGATTCTTATTGGTCTCCTTTGATCACTGTCTGTCTTCCCTCCACAGGAGTGCTTCTTAGTAAGGCTGATTTTTGTACCCTTCCCCTAGGATATTTACCAATGTCTGGACATAATTTTCGGATCTCACATCTGATGATGGAGAGTGCTATGGCATCTAGTGGGCAAAGGGCAAGGATTCCACTAAATGTCCCTCTGTACACAGGCCAGACCCTCTTCCAAATTGGGCAGGAAGGATCTGGCCCTAGATAGCAACAGTGCTGAGGTTGGGGAACCTCGGCCTAGATGACAAGCTCCATGGAGACAGGGACCATGCTGCTGTCTGCTCACTGCCCCACTACTGTGCCTAGCATGGCACCTGGCACAGGCAGGCACGCTTACTGGATGAATGAATGAATGCATGAATGTTTACCCAGAAAACGTCCCCTCTTGGGCTGGGGTGTAGTTCAGTGGCACAGTGCTTGCCTAGCATGCACATGGCCCTCGGTTCAATCCCCAGCATGGAAAAACAGAACAAAACAAAACAACAAACAATAAGAAAGATACCAAACATCCCTCTCCTTTTATGAGGAATCTCATTTTCAGGCAGCAGAATGAGGCCTTCAGAAAGTGTGGCCAGACGTTCTCCTGGGACTGGGACCTGGTAGGAGCAGCCTGTGCAGCCCCTTTCCTGAGGTCACATGGGTGATATACAGCTGTGCACTCGACAAGAACCTCATCAGCATGGCAGACCACCACGTCACGAGGAGCCTGGAGACCACGGGTGACCATGCTAAGTCTCCTTGGAATCCAATTGGGTTTTCAATGTTCACCTTGAACATCAGGACACCTGAGCCCACAGTGCCTGCGGGCACCCTGAGTCCTCTGAGATTAACAACAGAATACCCCGATTACACAAATGCAGAGGCCTCGGCATGGCTGTGATGGGCAGGAGTGGATATAATTTCCCTCTGTTAAGAGTGGACACAGTTATCCAATCTGAGGAGTTTGGAGGTGACAATAAGTTGAGGAGATCGGCTGCAGAAACAACCTGAAAAGCAGCGTGGTGTCTGTAGCCCCCTTGGCTGAGTCCTCTGTACCCCTTTCCGAGGCAAGCAGGGAAAAAGAGGGCAATTGGCACGACACAGCCTGGCTCCTCATTCATCTTTGTGACCTTGAATGGGGTACTTGATCTGCTGAAGCCTTTGTTTTTCTGCTCTGTAAAATGGGGATAATGACACTGGCTGTGACTGTTTAAATATGACCATGCATAGGAAGGGCTTAGCTCAACATAGGAGGCATAAATCAGTGTGGGCTCTCTCTCTCTCTTGCTCTGATCTTTTGATCTCAGTCACTGCCATCCGTGGAGGAGTATGGGTTTTTAAAGAATTGGGAGGTTGCCTGCCAGGTGGTGTCAATAGTGGGAGGATCAGTCTGGGTCAGGAGATGAGCTCTAGCTGGCCTCCTACCTGGAGATTATTCCCCCATATCCAATGCTGGAAAATGAAGGTTTGCTTTTTATCAGGAAATGCAGCTCATTTCCAAAGACCTTCATCCTGGACTCTAGCAAACGTGCAGAAACATTGTTGTAGAAGATGTTGGCTTAGATAGGATAGGTATGGTATTTCTTCTAGAAGCCTGTGTGTGCTTTAGGTCCAGCTACAAGGTAGGCATGGTGGAGCATGCTCTTAAACCCAGCACTCTGGGAGGCTGAGGGAGGAGAATCTCAAGTTTAAGCCTAGCCTGGCAAATTAGCCACTTGGTAATACCCTGCCTCAAAATTAAAAGGCTGAGGTTAAAGCTTAGTATGTAGGGTTAGGGCTCAATCCCTAGTACCAAAACTAAACTAAACTAAACGAAAATGCAGATCCAGCAGCTGTAGTAGGCATCCACTCTGTGGACCCTGTCCATCATCACATGTCTGTCAAATGCCAAAACATCCACTGAGGGTATAATAGTACTTTTGACTTCACAATCAAATCACTTCCAACAATTCTGGCAAATACATCTTTGCCCCTTTAGGAAGAGAAGCTTTCCCTGAATAATACTATTTAAATCTACTACTACTACTACTACTACTACTACTACTACTACTACTACTACTTGTAATAACTATACTTTATTAGGCATGCCTATAGCCAGGCACTGGTCTTTACAATCAGGCCAGGCCCTTCACATAGTCAGCTCTAATATCTTTATCATCATATTCCAGCTGTGAGATGGAGTCCCAGAAAGGTTAAGGCCTCTGCCTGAGGCCACACGGCCTTCAGGCTGGGGTTTGGACATAGATGTTCAAAGGTCTCTTAGGCTCTAGAGTTTGTGTCCTCTACAGCTCATGCCCCCCTGCTGCTCCTTTCTGTGTGCTCAGGTTTTCCAGTTTACGGTAGAAGGGAAACCTTAGCATTGGCATAAGAACGTCAGGAATCAGCTTGTTGAATATTTTCTGCAGAGCATAACACTTGCTGTGAAGATGGGGCCACATTTGAGGGATTGTCCTGGCCGGGTGTCAAGGCCAGGCTGCATCATGCTGTGCAGACAGGAGGCCACTGCTCTCTGCAAACTTCCAGTACCTCACCAGCTGCAGGTTCAGACCCCACCTCTCAGGGAGAACCTGACCGGAACCACGGAGGCCCGAAGAGCCAGAGTGTGTGGCTTGTGTTGCCCTAACACCCATGCTCTTTGTGTGCCACACACTGAAGAGACAAATTTTCTTTGCTTACCGCTTGGATCTCTATTCTTGAAAGAATTGGCAAATTGGGTTTTGAGTCCAATAATTTTTTTGGGACATTTTTTTCCATTCTGAGAGTCCTTAATTCTAGGAGTGATTCCTTCAGGTGGTCCTTAGGATCTATAAAAGAAATAATTTAGACTCAGGAAGCAGTTATTTTATGTAATAATCATAGCTATGATTTACAGGACACTTACCAAAGGCCTGTTTTAATCTTCACGACATCCCTGAGTGGACAGGGAAACTAAGGCCTAGGGAGATTCAGTGATTTGTTCAAGGCCACACAGCTAATGAGGCTGAGGCCACACAGACGCTGGTGCACAGTCCTTGAGGGGGAACTTGGCCTAGGCCATCCAGCCACCAGGACAAGGACTGGCCTGGAACCAGCTTCTGGGCCTCCACCCAGTGCCCTGTGCCCCAGTGAGCTCCCCTTCCTGAGGATGCTCCATCCCCTCTGAGTGGGGGACTCTATGGGGCTCCCAACGCTGACCCTTTGGCTGTGTTAGCCCACACAGAGTTTCCACAGGGCCACAGTGAAATAAGAAAAGGGAGGCCAATGGTGAATGTTTCATGATGACCCATTTATTTCATATTGAGGTCTGTGCTTGGCTCAGAGTCTTTCTGTGTCTCATGACATCCTTCTGATATGAGGTGGTGGGGATGGAGGGCAGCAGTTGGGGCCCATTAGCCAGTCCCCAAAGTGTGCCCCAGGCTTGGCCCCCACCAGGACTTGGGAGACGGGACTTACTTTGAGAGCTGGTCTTCTCCAGTTCTTTGATTCGAAGCCGGAGTTCCGACAAGGCCTTTCTCTGCCGCTGGATGACTTCCTCATGCCGGCACCCTCTGCACCTGGCCCCCAGGTTGCTGAAAGATTGCTCCTGGGGATGGAAGGGTGCAGACAGCAGCTTAATTAGGGATCTGAATATTTCTCTTATATTCACAGGAATGTGAAGAATTCCTGTATGGCAGAAGCCCTGCCCTTTAGCACTTCTGCAAAATATCTTCAGGGCTTCAGCAAAGAAGGAGTTTAAAATTTTCATGATAAATATCAAGTCCTATCTAGGTGGATTTCTGGCTTTCATACCTAATTAGCATCACTATAAATAAAAGATCCCTCTATATTCCTTCTCCATGATTTATGTTTTTCTTCTAATATTCTTCTATGCCTGGGTTTTTCACTTGTTACTTTTTTAGTTTTATTTTTGGAACAGTTGCAGCATGCTCTACTTTCTAGACAGGTAACTATTATTATTATTATTATTTGCAGGGTTGGAGGTGGAACCCAGGGCCTTGTGCACACTAAGCATGTGCTGTTCCACTGAGCCCCAGTCCCAGCCCCAGCCCTAGCCTCAGCCCCAGGGCAGCATTTGTAGATGGTGCTTGGTGCTTTCTTTGAAACTGGTCATAAGGATGGCTTTTCCCATATGCCCAGGGATTAGATACACTGGCTTCTGGTTGGTCTGCCGACCTTCTCTGGAGGCTCCCACGGCCTCTAGCACTTTCTAGTCCCCCAGGACTTTCTGTAGTTATGTCCTGTGCTGAATCATCCAGTATGGTAGCCGCTGGCCACTTGAGGGTGGACTCTAAGGGACAGCTCAGGGCCATGGTTGCATGTACTCAGTGCGCAGACCAGGAAGTAAAGCCATTCACTCTTTTAAGATTTGGCAGAATGCAGTGTTCTTTCCTTCAGAAAATTCTTCTACACAAAACATTAGTCTGTGACTTCTAGAGAACCCCTGAAGCCCAGTCATGACTCCAAGTTACACATCATTTTCTATGGAAAGCCATTCACTCACTCATTCATTCACTCCACAGACTTTTTGAGCATCTCTGAGTGCCAAGCCTTGATCTAGGCTCTGGAGACTCAGCAGTGACTAAAACAGGCAGCCTCCCCTGTTGCCATCACGAATTTTGCATCCCAGTTTGGGGAGACAGACACTGGCCAAGAGAGGTGGGGAGAATCCATGGTGGGCAGGAATGAATGTTACGTGGCTGAGTGGGGACATGGGAAGGGGTGCTGGGAGCATTTTCAGTTGTAGATGAGTTACCACAGAAGGCCTCAAGATACTGGCAAGAAAGGGAAGAAGCTGACAATCTGGTTCTCTTATAACTATTTTTAAAATAGTAATTTTGGTTCATTTCATACTATTGATACAGATATAAAAGATAACATATATAGTATCAAGTGAACCTAACATAAATTATATAGAGATCTCTGCCTATCTACCATCTATTTCTTTACCTAGATATGTGTGTGTCTGTCCATCACCTGCCTGTCATCCATCTATCCGACCCTCTGTCTCTCTTTCTTGTACTAACCACATATCTGGCACAGTTCTAGGCACTGGCATGAGGTTGGGAACCTCAGAGCAGCCCTGCTGCTGCGGAGCTCCTTCCTCTGGGGCAGACAGATGAGGACAGATGACACCTGCTCCCTCTCAGCCCAGAGTGATGAACGCTCCTGCCCATCATGAGTCCAGGGCTTATCAGGGGCCTCTATGACAGTGGCCCCAGTCCTGTGCTCCTTTAAGGTCCTTGGGCTCCTTTAAGGGGCTCAGCAGTGCCATCTGAGGCCCTCCTGGGAACGTCCCCATCCTTGCAGGGTCTCTGGCACTTTGGCCTTCACTTCCTGGTGCCCACAGGACATTTTGGGCACTATGAACTGGCTTCTGTCTCTCTCCTCCCAGGACATAGGCTCCATGGGAGCAAGGTCTGTCTCCTCTGGCAGCTGTAGTATTCCTGAGGCTGAGCACTGTGCTGAGCACAGTAGGTGTTCAATAAATAGGAAGCCGGGATGCCCCAAGATCAAGCCCCCAAGAAGAGCTCACCCCAGCTCTGACTGGGCCCAGGGAGCTGGAGGCGAGGGGAGTGCTCCACTCCCAGGATCTTGCTTGTCCTGGGACCCTGGCTCCAGCCTTTACTGGCCCACAGGTGCCCTTCCCAAGCCAGGTTCCCCACTGCCCTGCACACTGACAGGAAGCTGAGTTTACCTGCACTGCTCTCTGTCGTCCTGTGTAAGGAGGTCAGGAGGCTCTGAACCTGGGAGCTGGATGGAGGCACAGCAGCCAGGAGAGACTCAGTCACTGGGCTGAAGCATAAGCTGGGGCCATGTGACCCTCCTCAGAGTGCTTCTGGGAACTTCTTTATTTGGAGAATAGAGATTCTTTCTCATACAACTCTTAAGCCCTCTGACCCCCTCTGGCTTAAAAAACAGGAAGTAGCTTGGTGATGAAAGTCATTCCAAGAAAGAACAAATAATCTTTTTCTTTTATCTTGCAGCCTCCTTCCCCCATCTTCCTGAAGGAATCCTGCCTCATAATAGAAACTAAAAAATCACAGGGGTCCCGGCCCAATAGGTCCTCCCTATAAACATGTGCAGAGCCAGGGGAGTGTGACAAGGGCAAAGACTCATGGAAATGTCCCCATCTGGGTCTGGCATACAGCAAGTGCTCAGTAGTTGCCGAGTGTGTGAATGAATGTGGGCCAGGATTCCAACAGGAGTGATTCATGCTCCCTGCCCCACAGAGCTCCCGGCCGTCTGCACCTGAAACAGGGTTCACCCTCAGTTGCCCTGAGCAACAGGAGCCATGCCCGTCAGAGTGCTCTGGACAGCAGTCGGTGCCAGGGACAGCTGGCTGGACCTTGGGCCCTTCCGTTCAGGCTGCCCGCAGACCTGGCTCACTGCTGCCTAGCACAGAAAGCATCTCTGCTGACACATTTGGCCCTGTTTCCAAGTAGAGTGCAGAGCTTCTTACTGGAATGTCTGCTCTCTGGTTTCATAAAGCCAAGAGGACAGGATATACTGGACTCCAGGAAGCTGGGACCCCGAGGAACCCCTACATCCCATAATCAGCCTACTATGGTCGATGGGAAATGTCACAGCACTAGGGACAGGAACAGTGTGAGTGCAGTGCCGAGGACCACCTGAGGCAGGATGCTGTCCTTCCAAGACATACTCCCTGCTGGGTGCATGACTGGGACTCCTGGGTTGCAAAGGCTTCTGGGAAGGTGCAGAGAGAGATGACAGCCACGGGGCACTCACTGCATGGCTCTTTGGGAAGGTAGTTTGGTCCTATGAAGCAAGTTAGCAAGTCCTTTGGACCCAGCAATTTCATATCTAGGAAAGCACATTAACCACAGCATTATGTAAAAGGAGAAACAGCCTAAACACCCATCACCTGAGGACTGGCTAGATAAAAAGGGACATGATGGAATGCTATGTAGCCACTTAAAAATGCGAGGTGACAGGGTACAAAATCAACATTAATAAAATCAATAGCTTTCCTATACACCGATAATGAAAGAAATCAGGAAAATAATTCCATTCATGATAGCTCCTTCTCCAAAAATAAAACAAAACAACAGAACTAATGACATAAAACCAAAAACACTAGGAATCAACTTTACCAGGGAGGTAAAAGACCACTGCAATAAAAATCATAGAACGTTGAAGAAAGAAATTGAAGAAGACACCAGAAGATAGAAAGACCTCCCATGTTCATGGATCAGTAGAATTAATATTGTTAAAATGGTCATTTTCACTAAAAGTGATCTACAGAGTCAATCTCCATCAAAATTCCAAGGACATTTGTCTAGAAAAAATAATTTTAAAGTTCATATGGAAACACAAAAGACACAGAACAGCCAAAGCAATCCTAAAAAGAGCAAGGCTAGAGGCATCACAACATCTGATTTCAAATTATATCACAAAGCTATTGTAGCAAAAAATGCATGGTACTGGCACAAAAATAGACACCTAGATCAATGGAACAGGAAACAAACTCACACAACTACAGCTATCTGATTCTGGACAAAGGAGCAAAAAATATATGCTGGAGAAAAGACAGCCTCTTAACAAGTGATGCTGGGAAAACTGGATCTCCATGGGCAGAAGTCTGAAACTAGACCTCCCTCACCTTGTACAAAAGTCAATTCAAAAGGGCTGAAAGGGCTGGGTATAAAACAAGAAATTTTAAAGTAGAAGAAACTGATGTTGAAGAAAACATAGGGGAAACACTCAGAGTCACAGACACAGACAAAGACTTCCTGAATAGGAATCTGATGGCACAGGAAATAATAAACTGAAGGAACAAATGAGAGCACATCAAATAAAAAGGTTCCTGAACAGTGAGGGAAACAATTACCAGAGGAAAAAGAATCTATGGAATGAGAGAAAATGTTGCCATCTATTTTTCTGACAGAGGATTAACATTTAGGATGTATAAATAATTCAAAAAGCACCAAGAGGACAAATAGCCCAGTAAATAAATGGGAAAATGAATTGAACAGGCAATTTTCAAAAGAAGAAGTACAAATGGCCAATAAATACATGAAAAAATGCTCAACATTTTTAGCCACTAGAGAAATGTAAATCAAAACTATACTGAGATACCATCTTACCCAATAAGAAAGGCTGACTTCGGGCTGGGGATTTAGCTCAGTGGTTCCGCCACCTGCCTCACAAGTGCAAGGACCGGAGTTTGATCCCCAGTACCAAAAAAAAAAAAGGCTGACATCAAGAATACAGAAAACAATAAACTCTGGTGGAGATTCTGGGAGAAGGGAACACTTCTACACTGCTGGTGGGAACGTAAATTAGTGCAGCCCCTGTGGAAATCAGTATGGAGGCTCCTCAAAAAACTAAAAAGAGAGCTACCATGTGACCCGGCTATGCCACTCCTTAGTATGTACCTGGAGGAATTAAAGTCAGCACATGACAGAGATGCCTGCATACCCGTGTTTATTGTGCTGCAATTCACAGTAGCCTAGGTGCCCATCGACAGATGAGTGGATAAAGCCAATGTGGCATTTGTACACAATGGAGTGTTTTTCAGCCATAAAGAATGAAATCCTGTCATTTGTAGGAAAATGGATGCAACTGGAGAGCATCAAGTTAAGAGAAATAAGCCAGACTCAGACAAGTATAGTATGTTTTCCTTAATATGAGAAATATAAAAAAATCCAAAAAACAAAAAAGATGACATAAAAGCAGAAGGGACACTATTATTAGACAAAAGAAAAGAGCTAAGGGAAAGTATAAGGGAGAACAATGGGGGGATGGATACAATAAAAATGTTATAGGCATGTATAAAATATCACATGGAAACATAGTATTTTATAAAATTAATAGGTACTAATGAAAATGTTAAAAAGAATGAGGTGGACCTACTACTATATCAAAATAAACAAGTTGTAGAATAGGTGTGGTTTGATACTATTAGCAAAAAATTAGTTACTAAAGCAATCTATGTATGTACGAGTGTTTGTTCATACATGTATATACATAAAATCTACTTCCCCACCACCCCACAAGGTGAGGACTGCCATTGCCCTCACACAAGTGAACTGGCACGGAGTGACCTCACAAGGTCACAGAGCTGCTAACTGGAGGAGCTGGGATTCAAACCCAGGGAGACTGGATTGGAGCCTGATCTGCAGCCACTGTGTGAGGGTACAGTAGCCTCCAGGAGCAAAGACCCCAAGGCATCTGTGTCCAGCTGTTGAAAGCTTAACCTCTGGAGGCTGCAACAGGGGAGGTAGGAGCTTGTGTTTTGCTTTATCCATTTCACACAGGCAAGCAATGCTTGGAACTTAGAATGAAAATACTTTTGAAAGAAAAGAAAGCTGCCATTGGGCTCCTTGGTATCAGGTCCTTCAGGAACCCAGAGTCTGGAGGGGACTCACCTCTTGGTTGCTTGAGGAAACATCCAGGTAGACCGGGTCTATCTGCACTGAAATGTCACACTTCTGGGTCAGGGTCCTCGGCTTCTGCTCCTTCTCAGGGCTTGGATGGAGCTTGTGTTTCTCCTGGGAAGTCCTAGGGCAGAGAGGGGGCGTCACCGTGCAGTAGCCTGACGTGAGGTTCAAGTCCTTCTGTATCCTTGGCAGACCAGGAAGTGAGCTCTGTTTTTCCAGGTATGAGTTCCTTGAGACCCCAAGTTTCCTGCCCCCAGATTTCTGGGGACTCTAGTGTCAGGGGATTTGCAGAGTAGTGGCCGGGGGGGTGGGCGTCTGCTCTGGTGCTGACAGGGATGCTGACCGCATGTCTGCCCCGTGAAATACCTTCTCTCATCACCCCCTGAGCTAGACAAGTACAGGGCACGCAGGGATTCTCCCTGAGGAGGCCACTGGCTGTGATACCTGGCAGCCTGGATTGGGACCCTGTTCCTTTACCTCTCTATGCCCCTGCCCTGGCCAGGAGCCATGAGGTACAGGACATCATGGGAGACACACAAAACACTGATTTTGGTCAAACTTTTTTCTTTGGGGGAAAAACACTACTCATGTTAAATACGGACAAAAGTGCAGACTCATTTTTAAATAAGACCCAACTATGGGATAGTGACAGTATTTTTATTTATTTGAAGCTGACTTATTCATTTGTTCGATAAATACTAAATTCCTTCTTGTGCCAGGTACGAGTGAGTGCCAGGTCTCTAGAGACCTAGGCCCTGGCTGGGCAGGCAGACAGGTGCAGAGGCCCCACAGCCTCGCTGTGCATCAGTGGTGGCCCTGGCAGAGCAGGAGCCCTGGGCTGTGTATGGGGAGGGTGAGTGGGGAGGAAGGACTCCTGGAGGAGGGGACATTCAAGCTGAGACCAGTCACCTGGGATATCAGGCAGGAATGCTGGTTTGAGAAACAGAACTAAGCAGAGCTCAGGTCTGAGGAGGCTATGAAGCAATAAAACACACCACTCACACTCTCATCTCGGGTGGGATTTACTGAGCCCTCCCCATCCACACCAGACCCCTGGGACTCCCCCACCTAAGGGCCTCCTTGAGGGCCTTCAGCTCCCTGTCCTTCTTCTCCATGTGACTGCTCATCTGCACCATCTTGTTCTTGAGTGAATTCAGCTCGCTGCTCTGCTGCTGGACCAGGGCCACCTGCTGTTCCAGCTCCATCTTCTGGTTCTCGCTCAGCTCCCCTGGGGGCCACAGGGAAGCTTGTGAGGGGTTTCCAGCCTCAAATCTCTGCTAGGGTCACAGCTGATCAACCAGGTGCACAAAGGCCCCGAGGGGGGCTGTCCCTGGGATCCTGGGCCTTCACTGCTGGCTGGGCGCTCTGTGTGCACCTGTGCCATGACAGTAACAGCCTTATGCCTTGTCCCCAACCTCACCCCAGCAGGTGCTGTTGGGGCCTGACAGATTCCTCCATTATCTGAGGGCACCTTGGCCTGCTTCTCATCTTTTTACTCAAGGGTGTTCTCAGACCCCTGGAGCCTCCTGTGCTGTGTGTACGCCAGGTGCACCTCCGTGACGGGTGCAGCTGAGTCCTCGTCCTGGCCCCTCCACCCTCACTCAGGTGGCTGCAAGTGCGTACTTGCTGCTGCTCCCCGAATCCCTCAGCTGTATCAAGCTCTCCTTGCTCACTGTGCCCCCCGGATTGATAGCACCAGGATTTACTTTCTTCCCCTCCTGGCTCACCACTACCTCACTTCTGGTATGTCCTGGGGCCACATCCTGGACCACACGCTTGAGGTGGAGTTTTGCTCATAGGGGTTGATTCGTCTTTTTTTTGTTTTTTGGTACTGGGGATTGAACTTGGGACCTTGCACTTGCAAGGCAGGTGGTAGAACCACTGAGCTAAATCCCTGGCCCTTGTAGGGGCTGCTTCTAGTGAGACCTTGTGTGACCTTGAATCAGCACACTCACAAGTGAATGAGCACCCCCACTTCACAGATGCAGAGATGGAGGCTCACGGGGGAAACATAGCTAATCATAAGCAGGACCAGAATTAGGCCTGATATCTCCTGATTCTAGATCCAGACATTGTATGCTACACTATACTTTCTCCTAACTTTCCATGGAAAAGCCACTCAGAGGGCCGGGGATTTAGCTCAGTGGTTTTACTGCCTGCTGCAAAAGCACAAGGACCCAAGTTCGATCCCTGGTACCAAAAAAAAAAAAAAAAAAAATTCAACCAGAAACATCCTTGGCAGTGTGTGTGTGTGTTCACAGGACAAATACCACTGGAGGCTTGGGGATATCTAGGGCTCAAGATAAGATACATAGAGCATTCCTCTCTTTCTCTCTAATTTTCTGAATCTGGTTATGCATATTCCTGTTCACTGTGCCTTCTGGTTTTTTGGCTTTGTTTTGTTTTGGATTTTAGAGACAGGGTCTCACTATGTAGCCCAGGCTGGCCTTGAACACATGGTGATCTTCCTGTCTCAGCCTCCCAAATGCTCAGATTACAGACATGGGCCACCATGCCCAGCTACACTGTGCCTTCTGGCTCCATGGAGACCAGGTATGGCAAGAGAAGGCAGCTGTAAGAAGAGGGTGAGAGGCAGAAATGAAAGGACAGGGAAAAGAGGTGTGTGTGTGTGTGTGTGTGTGTGTGTGTGTGTGTGTGGGCACTATGTCCCCATCCAGAAGAGTGTGCGGAAGAGTGTGCGGCGCCTTCCCACCTGACCCTGTGGCCAAAGGCATCCACATCAGCCCCAGGAGGCAGGTGAGTGGCCTCTTTTGTGTGTTTGAGGAAGAGGAGGCTGGAGAGGCTTCCTACAACCACCCTCCAAGGAAGTTGAAGCCTCTGAAATGAAAGAAAATTCTCCCCAAAGATGAAAGTTCCATTTCAGCACAGAGGCCCAGGATCCTCTGCAGGCTGTGGCGGGGACCCTGGGGCTGGTGGGGAGGAGCCAGGGCCATGCCTGTGTATAGCACAGGTGCACGGGAGGGCAGGACACTGGGCGCTGACTCTGTGGCTCCTGTCCTTCCTTCCTCCAGCGGTCAGGACGAAAGGGACACAGGGACTGGAACCAACCTCGCAAGTCTGTCATCCGGCCATGGGCTTCGTTTAGGTCCTGCCTTAACCTCATGATGGTCTCCTGCTGAGACAGGATCTCCCTCTGTGCGGCCAGGAGGTCGTCTCTGAAATGCACAAGCACAGGCCCTGTGGGATCCACTCAGCCTGATCCCAACCTCTGTGGTGTCTCCTGAGGGCCTGCAGGGGAGGATTCAAGTACAAGGGCAGAGTGATAGGCAGTCACGGTCCACGGGATACCAGCCCAGCCAGGGGACAGGACAGTCTTTAAATATTCTAAAAAAAAAAAAAATTCATTGTGATGCACCTTCATTTAAAAACACCCCAAGTGCTGGGGATGTGGCTCAGTGGCATGCATAAGGACCTGGGTTTGATCCCCAGCACAGAAAAAACCCCATCTGAAGTAGAACAAAGGATCTGGCTGGGTGGGACCTGAGGTTGGACGGTGCTTGGCGTGAGGTGCAGCACGACCATCAGCAGGGATTGGTATGCTGTGGGCTTCTGGGTGTGGCAGAGGGAACACAGAAGACCATGGCGGGTGGGGGTGGGGGGAAATCCAGGAATTCCCTGAGGACAGGGAAAGAGAGAGAGGAAGATAACATAGTTTTCATCTTCTCAGCAGTTTGGTGTTACTGAGAGGACAGTGTCCCCTTTCCTAAGCTCCAGAGGTCAGAGGACACCTTTGGCACCATCAGCTCGGGACACTGACCAGGAGGGAGGGTGGCTGTGCCCCACAGTAACGACGGATGGGGGGCTGGGCAGGACTCAGGGGGAGGATGGGGAGATGTGATTCTGAGCAAGTGCGAGAAACAGCCCCAGGAAAGATGTCTTATTTTTTACGTCCGTGTTGGTCCTGAGGGAGGAGGCGGCACTGTGGTCTGGTCTGCTTAGAATGGGCTGGGAGGCACAGGCTCTGGGCAGTCTTGGGGCCAGTTCAGTGAGTTCACAGGCTTAGGAAAGCTGAGGTCTTCTCATAGGGGCTTTTGAAGGTACAGCGTGTGTTTATTACAAAATAATGCAAAACCGGGCCGGGGATTTAGCTCAGTGGTTTCGTCGCCTACTGCGCAAGTGCAAGGACTCGAGTTCGATCCCCAGTACCAAAACAAAACAAAATAATGCAAAACCTTGGCAGGTTACATGTAAAAAAATATCAGTGATCATTGGAATGAAATAACTACACATACATCTCATGTGTGTGTGCATGTGTGCTGTGTGTGTCTGTCTTTGACTGTAACTGTCATTCTCTCAACTGGAGGAGGAAGTTCAGGACTCAGGTTTGACCCTGTACCAGTCCAGTAACCAGAGAGCACAAAGCGGCTGTCAATTCCTCTCCTGGTTCTAATGAGAGGAACTGGGAGCCAAAATGTGGAGCTTAGGTGTCTCTGCTTTCTTGAGGCGAGAGTTCTGAGACCGTGGACTTTGGCAATGGGTGTTTGGTGCATGGGCTGGGCTGGTGATTTGTGGTCCTGGAGGAAATTTCTGAACACATTCTCTGCCTCATCCTAGAGCCTCCTGGCACATGTGCTGCCTTGTGGAGCTGTCGGGATCTTTCCCATCTGTGGCTTTGTGTCTCTGAGCACTGTCAGTCCTTGAGGCTGAAGTCACAGACTCATCGACTGAGTCCAGGGTTGGAGAGGGGAGGCCATTCGCTAAGGTCAGCTAGCCCAGCCTCTTCACTTTAAACCCCTTGCAGAGCCCACCCCACTAAGAGGCCTCCACTGTCTGAGACCTCTAGGTTGAGCTGAGACACTAGGGATGGCTTCCCCCTAGTGGGTCTTGGGAAAACAGCTAACAATGGTGCTAGCCCTCACCTACCAAGTGCCAGGCATGGACATAGAGAGATAAAAAACTATGGTGAATGTTTACATCAGAATGAAAAATAATTACTATGTTGAAATACTGCTGTGAATCTCCCTTTAAAATACTCCCTGTTGTCGGGGATTTAGCTCAGTGGTTTCGCCACCTGCTACACAAGCGCAGGGACATGAGTTCAGTCCCCAGTACCAAAAAAAAAAATACTCCCTGTTAGTTTGAACACACTTATCCCACTGTTCTTGTCACTTTCTGAAGCAGTTCTGGAAGTCCTCTTTCCTGAGTATCTTTTTGTTGCTGCTTTTATGTCCTGAATCAATTCAAAATGTTTACAGAAATTTCTGTCAAATAAAGACATTACAGTGGGTCTCCATCCACCTTATTCACTGGATCTGGCACCATGTGACTTCTCGCTGTTCCCCAACGTCAAATGACTATGAAAGGTAAGCATTTTGAATCAGTTCAGGATATTGAGGCAGCCATGGCAAGTAGATACTCATGAAAGAGGACTTCAGAGCTGCTTCAGAAAGCAGCAAGAACAATGGAATAAATGTGTTCAAAGAGAGGGGGAGGATTTTGAAGGGGATTAATAGTACTATGTCATTAACTGTAAACATTTTAAAAAAATTTAAAATTCTCTGTATCTTTTGATCACCTCTTATGCATCCTTATTTTGCAAACGAGGGGCCAAGGCTCAGAGAGGTGACCTGACCCACCTCGGTCACATGACTAGCAGGTGTTGCACTGGGATTTTTCCACACCTCTCTGCCATGTTAACGGAACTAAGAAGTTAAAGGAGATCGAGGGTACTTGGGACTCAACTCCTTTTCTCAGGTTCTGACATGTGGCCAGATGTGGGGATTTGCTGGTTTGTTCTTGCACCCCTGGGCACCAGTGGGGACCCCCTGACATCCACACCCGCGGGCACTCACATCAAGTGGTTGCACGCCATCTCTTTGGCACTGCTGTCCGAGGGTGGGGCCGCTGGAGGCTTCACTGGCAGTTCCTCCTTTTGAGCTGAACCAGAGGGACACATGGACATCATCACAGTCCTCATGCAGCAGGCACGTCCCAGCCCTGCCACTGTGGAGCATGCCTGTGTCACACAACCCAGATGCTGTCCCTACACCTGCGGCCCTCCTGCTCTCGAGACCTACCCAGTGCTCCACGCGCCAGGCTGGGGCTCTCCAGCTAGGAGGCTGCTACAGTTTGAGCTTGGTTTGTCCCCTCTGAAAACCTGTGGTACCGTCTAATCCCACTCGTGAGCTATTAAGGAAGTGGAGACTTCATCCCACTATGGTGCTCAGAGGTGGGGCTGTGGCAAGCAGCTGGGGTTGAGCAAGGGCATCAGGGCACAGCCCCTGGGACGGGCACTGGTGGTTTTATAACAGAGGCAGAGACTGGCACATGCACACCCATGCTCCTTGTCACTTGTCATGTGATGCCCCAGCTGCAAGTAGATGTGGCCCCTCTGCCTGGGAGTAGAACCAGGGGAGAAATAACCCTCTTTTCTGTCTCCCTTCCCTGCTGTGGGACTGGGTTGGCAGCAACAGAGAACGGACTAATTCGTACAGAGGTGGTGGAGCGTTCCCAGCTGCCCTTAGTGCTGGCCCACGCCGCCTGTCCTTCTTTTTCCTTTCTGCCTAGAAAAGAGTCTCAGAAGAATCCAAGTCCAGTATCTTCCAGTCCTCAGGCCCCACTTAACTCCTTAGCCTGCTGCCTCTGGTTTGCTTCCTCTCTCATTTGTTTATTCATTCAACAAACACACATGCAATGCCTGCTGCACAGCAGACACTGATCGCTGTGGAGGTGACAAAGGCATAGGCACACTCCAGGTCCCAGGTTGAACATCCTCCCTCTGACCTGGACTCGGGCTTAGGAAACAGAGCCCAGCTTCAGGTCCTTGCCAAGGGGCCCTGCCATCCCAGGTCAGCTGCAGGGACAATAACTGCCTTGCCCGTCACCAGGTCCCCAATACCAACCACATGGGGACCTAGTGAGTGGAGGCCAGGGCTGCTGCTAGGCACCATATGATGCCCAGGACAGGCCCCGGTTCGCCCCAGAAAAGACTCAACCAGTCGCAATGTCAACAGTGCCTCAGCTGAGAACCCGGGCAGGGCCCTGCAGAGATCTTCCCCTTGGTCCTTGAGGGCAAATCAGTGGCACACATTTGAGTTTCTTTGCTTTGGCCTGTTTTGGGCTCACATTGTCAGAGGCCAGTCCTGGCTGCTCATTGAAGTGCAAATGGCCAGCGGCACTGAGGGCCTTTAAAAAGCCCCTGCCTGGCTGCTTTCAAGGGAAAAGGCAGCTGCCTGTGCTTCTCACTGGGTCCCCACAAAAGATGTCTGAAGTCATTGTCATTACTTCTGTTCAGCCTGGGCCTCTAACACTTTATGTATTGAGAAGCAAAGAGGCTCCTGAGGGCAAGGCCCATTTAGACAAGGTCTAGCCTGTCTCTCATTAGCCAGCCTGGGGCATCCTGGGGACTGTCAGAGGCTGCCCTGACACCAGGGCCACCTTCGGCACTACCTGGGTCACTGTCCTTCAAAGTTGCGATCTTTCCTTCCATTTTCTTATGGTGCTGGGTCACTTTCTGGAGCCTTTCCTCCAGACTCACGATCGTCTGGGAGTGCTGCTTGATTTGCTCCTTATATTGCATGATTTCCTCTTCAAATCCATGCTTCTGTGATTCCTGCTCGTCCTGGAGTGACTTTACTGCCTGCTGTTGCAGCGTTATCTGCTCTTCCATCAGGATCTGGGAAAACATAGCCATGCTTGTGGGATCTTGGGAGCTGAGAGGGCAACAATAGTAGTAACTGATCCTCTGCACATGCAGATGCTAAACTAGGGTCCGCCTCAGGGCCTTTGCACACACTGTTCCCTGGCAAGGCACACTCCTTCCCTAGCTGCTTGCCTGGCTGACCCCCTCTCAGCTTTCAGGTCTCAGCTCTAACATCTTCTCCTTAAGGAGACACCCCCCTCCCCAACCTGTCTGCAGAGCAGTCTGAGAAACTTTCTATTTTCTTTATTTTACCATCCCTGAATCCTTTATCACCATCAGCAATGACTTTGTTTCTCCATATTTCTCCCACACTAGAATGTCAACTGCATGGTGGCAGGGACATGCCTCTCATTGACTGCTATGTGCATAGCATTCAGACCTAGATGTTTGATCAGTAGTACAAATGAATGAATGAATCATTTATAAGGAAAAAGCAAATGGATTTGTATTTCTTAAAAACAAAAATTCCCAGTGACCCTCAAGTGGACAATCAGCCCCTTTCAATGTGGAGTAGTCACTGGACACCAAATCCCTGGGCTCCTGAGCCTGTGAGTCCCCTGCAAGGCCCTATAGAATGCCTTGGGAAAAGGCAGCATGGCCCAGGACCTTGCATGCTAAGCCAGTGGTTCTCAGCAGGGGTGATTCTGCCTCTGAGGGACTTTTGGCAAAGCCTGAGGACATTTCCAGTCATCTCCCCTGGGGCAGGACCACTGGCACCTGGGGAGTATCCACCAGGGAAGCTGCCCGCCACCCTGCAGTGCACAGGAAAAGTCCCCCTGCCCAGGAGGCTGCCATAGAGTTGGCTTGGTCCACGCTGCATGACCCTGGAACACAGGGGAGAACCCTCCATCCTGGAAGGCACTGACTTACCATTTTTGTCTTGGCGGTCTCCAGCTCTGCTAACGTTTCATTTAATTTCAGGGCGAGGTTCTCTGCCTTCTGACTTTCTGCCGTCCTCATGTGCTGAGTCTCCTCCACCCGGGTCATTGCGTCATTTAATTTATTATTTAAATCATCCTCTCTCTGCCCTTTTAATTCGATCTCCTGGACAAACAACAAACAAATTAACAAATTAACACCCAGGATTAAATATGTACCCTTGCCTACTTGTCCCCCTTCCTTCAGGGAGGGGGAAACTGCATTTCCTCCATCCCTTCTGAGGATGTCTGGAAGGTTCCAATGAGTACAGAACTCTTGTTAATTCAGCCTTGCTGTCTCCTTGTGATTTCTGGTCTCTGTACCCCGGGGCTCACTGAGCATGTTTTATTTCTCTTTTATGAGATGGCCTTTTAAATAATGGAGGAGAGCTCTCACGGCCCTCTCTCAATCTGCTCTCCAGGACAAAGGTGCTGACTTCCTTCACCCTTCACTTGTGGCCTGCCCCGGGGACACTCTGCTTCCCTGCCTGTGACATCATTTAATCCGATTTCCGACATAGTACCAGGCACTCTCAGGCTGTTGGTGGCAGTGTGAATAGGTACGACATTCAGGATGGTCCTTTATGTACCTTGAGTCTGAAATGTTCACATCCTGGGACTCAGCAGTTCCATGTTTGAGAATTCATCTTAAGATGTAAAGCCTGAAGCCCAAGCGTCCTTTATACCCATGGAAAGTGAGAAACAGCCACAGGGTCAGGAGAATAAATTGGGGTCCACATAACAACACAGCAAAGATCCAGGCCATCAGTCAAGGGCAGGGTGTGGAAGACTTCCATGACCAGGAGACATCTGAAAATGTATCACGTGTGCAGCTTCTAAGCAGAACGTACAGGACCATGGCGCAAATCACTCCCTCTAATAAACCCATGTGCGTCACTGTCGACGACAGTGCCCAGCACAGAGGCACTCTGAGGAAGGATTATAGTGTCACTGGTGACGACGCTGCTCTGTGGAACTGTGGGCTTTACGTTCTTCAGGGTGATTTTCTGTACTTTTCAAATGTTCTACAATGATGGGACTCATCTCGCTCTCAGGAAAGGAAACTGATACTTTTTTGAAAAAATAAAGTACAAACATCATCTTCGTCATGCGGGCTCCCCTGGGTCCTCTTGTCCTTTCTGTGCCACTGCGGAGCTCCACCTGCTTTCTGAGGTCCCAACATGGCTCTCACTGTTGACACACTCCAGAGCACACATCTCAGGAGGTGCTCCTGGGGTCCCTGCTGCTCAGACACCCTAGGTGGCCCAGAGGATGACCTGCCACAAATGAGCTGCCCTGTTGGGGCAGAACCCGGCGATGGCTCCCTGGGTCCTCCATGGCTTCCCAGGGGGGACACCAAGGCCCCCCATCCCACCACAGGTCTGAATTCCCTTTTCCTTCTCCTCTCTTTTTCCTATTTTGCCTCTATAGATGAAATCAACCTTTCCATGGGACACAAATAAGCTACTCTATGTCTGAGTGTTTGTTTTGTTGTATATTTGTAATTTCAAATTTGTTAGATGTGCTTACTATATAAATTCAACCAGGAGGGTCTAGAGTTCACGCCCTAAATGGAGATATAAAATTAGAACTTAATGATGGTATTTAGAGTCTCATACCAACCTGTATCGTATAATTTTTCTTATTTTCTAAAAAACATTTTATGTATAGTGATTTAAAAATTCTAATTCAGAGAAACAAGTTATTGCAAAGGATAACAACTTACTTTAAATATCAAAATACAGGGCTGGGGATTTAGCTCAGTGGTGCTGTCACCTACCTTGCAAGTGCAAGGTCCTGAGTTCAATCCCCAGTACAAAAAACAAACAACAAAGAAAATCAACATATACTTCAAACAAAGATGGCCAGATATGGGAATGGAATAAAAGAACATGTTTCAAAATGAAATTATTTTTGATCTCTACGTATTGAATTATTTTATATATAAAGTTTTGGTAAATATTCATTTTGGATGGTAGAAAATACTTTTCAAATATGTTTAGTAACATAAAATACTCAGCAATCTCATTTTAAAAAATTCTGTGTTTTGTCGGAGACTTACTCAAAATTTCAGAAAATTCAAATTCTATTTATTTTGTTTCCAATTTAAATATTCTTTTAATTTGAAACATTTTTACTGCAAATTAACAAATTATAATTATATATATTTGGGGAGAGAAAAATAATGCTGATTTATGAATGCAAGGTAGAACAATTAAATCAGGCCAATTAACATATTTGTTGCCTTGAGAACTTATTTTTTGTTGTAGGAATACTTGAAATGTAATTTTAGTCATTTTGAAATGTACAATACATGAGTATTTATCATATTTACCATACTCTGCGCAGATCTAAGAAAAACCCAAACCCAACTCCTTCCTCTATGAGGTTTTATACCTTTTAACCATCACTTCCCCACCCACTTAACCCTAGCCTCTGTAGCCAGGATTCATTCTCCTTTTCTGTGAATTCAATTGTTTTAGATCCCACATAAAGGGACAACAGTCAGTCCTTGTCTTTCTGTGCCTGGCTTATTTCACTTAGCCTCATGTTTTCCAATTCCATCCATGTATCACAAGTGGCAGGATTTCTTTCTTTTTTAGGGCTGAATAGTATTCCCAGCTTGTAGATATACCACATCTTCTTTATCTGTGCAGCTACTGATGGCCACTAAAGCTGATTACATACCCTGGGCATTGTGGACAGTGCTACAGTGAATATGGGGCTGCAGACATCTCTTCGACAAACTCATTTTAAATCTTTCCAGTAAATACTCAGAAGTGAAATTGCTGGGTGATCTGGCAATAATAGTATTTTTAGTTTTCTCAGGAAGCTCCATATAGTTTTCCACAGTGGCTGTACTAATTTACATTCTCATCAACAGTATGCAAAGGTCCCTTGTCACCATATCCTTGTCAACTTGAATTCTCTCTCTGAAAACAGCCACTCTGACAAGTGTAGGGTCAGAGCTCACTATGAATTTGCATTTCCCTAATGACTGGTGATGCTGAACATTTTTTATATATCTGTCAACCATTTGTTCATCCTCTTTTGAAAAATGTGTATTCAGGTCCCCCTTCATTTTCTCTTTTCTTTTCTTTTTTGAGACAGGGTCTCGTTAAGCAGCCCAGGCTGGCCTTGAACTCACAATGATCCTCCTGCCTCAGCCCACCAAGTGCTGGGATTATAGGTATCCGCCACCACGCCCGGCTGTCCCATCGTTTTCTTCCACCCCCCCCCCCCCCGCCCCATCCACTTTCTAATTGGATTATTTGTTTTTTTTCCTGTGGAGTTGAGTTCCTTATATATAGTTGAGTTCCATATATATATAATCAGATATGGCTTGCAAATGTTTCTCTCCCAATCCATGGCTGTTTCTTTATTTTATTCATTGTTTCTTTTGTTGTACAGAGACTTTTAATTTTGATGAAATATCATTGGTCTATTTTTGCTTGTGTTGTCTGTACTTTTAGAGTCAAATATAAAAAGTCACTGAACTGACCAAAGTCATGCAGTTTTTCCTTTGACCTTGTATTTCCTTGGTCTTCCCTGGTGATCAGTGAATCCCTAGGTCCTGGTCTTCCTGGTCTGGCTTGATGTCACCAGCTTGCTCTGAGGTTGCCACAGGCCCTGCCCTCTGATGTCCCTGTTGTTCTTACGACTGGGTGAGGGTCCCACTTGCTGCATTCCAGGGTCTTCTGTGTGTTGACCTCTAGCAGAGTTCTCTCTGGGGCCAGTACCAACACTGGTCACGTGCCCATGAGCATTTCTGTCTGTGAGTTACACAACCCATTGGGCTTTCCCTTGCTCATCCTGTAGCTGCTTGAATAAAACTGGACTCATTCAATGATCTCACGATACACCTTTTATTTTTATTTTTTGGCATTAGTCTCATTCCTGACCTGATTTATTTCCTAGCTTGCCTACTTTGAATTCTAAAATTTCTCCTTTTCTCCTGTCCTTTGCTGATCCATTCTGTGGAAACTGCAGTTCATCACAAGGAAAGAAAGATGTCAGGGAATAGATGCTGCCTGGGCTCTGGTCCAGCCAGCTCTGAACCTGGGTCTTGCATGACTGTGCTGAGCACTGCTTTCCCTGACACGCGCAGTGAGTCATGCCCTGCTGACAGCACTGCCTGGGGGCTGCCGTGTCATCACATGTGCGCGTGTCTGGTCTCCACGTGCCTCCTGGGCTGGCACTGAGCAATGCACCTAGCACCACCGGACAGCTCATTAAACAAGCATATTCATGGTCCTGACTCTGGATGAGGCCAGGAGGGCATTTAAATTCAGTTCCCTAGAGGTGCTACTGTGTGCGAGCTGTCTTTGAAGAAAATGTTCCAAGACAGGCATCAAGAAACTTAGGGATCCTTTTCAGTCTCAATTGGCCTGGAAAATCCTTTCCAATCGTATTTTCTCCATTTCAATTTAACCCACAATTGCCAGGTTGTGTGTTTGTGGACTGGTTTGACTTTGAGATGTGAGTCACTGGTGTGTATGTGTGCATGTGCGTGTGTCCTTTGCACACCTAACTGGGACCCAGGAGGAATGAGCAATGCCTATTGCTGGTGAGGTCCTGGTTGAGCACCACCTCTGCACCACAGCCCCTGCTCCTGCCAGTAGTTCTCGGTAACTGCATCTCAGTTTTGAAGGTGACCATCAGCAGGACAAGTCCTGACAGGAAACGGACATGGAAGTGACCAGACGACCAAGTGTCCACACCTTGACATCTCCTTTACCCCAGCCCGCCCCTGTCTTACCCACATGAAGCTGAAGTACAGGAGAAGGATGAAGACTAAGGATTCCAGGACCAAGGAGTCCTACGTTTGGGTCCAGCCCTTCCACTTCTGAGCCCTGAGCTCATAAGAACCCTATGAGCAGCTGACACATGGCGCCGTGCTCACTACGCATGCGTTCCTTCCCTGTGTTCCGTGTGTATACTGGTGGACACACATGCATCACCTGCATTGAGTGTGGGGACCCCAAGGCACAGCCAGAGAGGGGCAGAGGGAAGATTTGAACACTGACTTCCTGGCTCCAGGGCCCATGCTGGGCTCTCATCCTTTCCCCTCTGTGACTCATACCTCTCTCTGCTTGGTCAAGCGGTTCTCCAGGTCTTGTACCCGCCGCCTCTCCTTGTCTAAGGCCTCCTTCGCCTTGTGCCGCTCGTAGGTGATGCTGTTCTCAGAGATCTGCAAGTCAAGGGCAGGGGCCTGGTGTCCACTGAGGAGGGGATATTGCTGCCAGGGTGAGTGGTCCAGGCAACCAGTGGGACAGGGCCACTGGACAGGACAGCCAGGGAGAGAGTTGGAGCTGGGCACAGTGGGGGCGGGAGCCAGGGTGCCAGATCTGTGCCTGAAAGAGAGTGATTCTCTGTGCAGGGTGTCCGGCTGGTGTTAGGAAATGACCGGCCGATGAGGCACAGGTCACGTTACTGGGCACTGGGCCACCAACTAAACCGGCATGTGTTGGCACCAAGACCGGTCCTCGCCGGAAAGCACCTGGCTGGCGGGAGTTGGGGTAAGAGAAACAACACAGGGACACACTTCCTGTCCCAGCAGGCCCGGTGCCCGTGGCTTTGCAGGAGGACACAGGCAGTCTCTTCAGCATCCAGAGGTGCTGCTCTAAGTAGTGACATTAACCGGAGGGGCTGGGGCTGTGCATTCTCATTTTACAGACAAGGACACTGACGGCTGGCAGGTTTGGTCACCTGCTCGGTCATCTGCCCACCTGGCCACCTCACTCTCGGTCACCTTCCAGAGGGATCTGGCTGCTCGTACCTCCTTCTGCTGGGTCAGGTGGTTCTCCAGATCCTGTGCTCTCCTCCTCTCTGCCTCTAGCACTTCCTCCGCTTTCCTCTTCTCGTGCGCCATGCTGCTCTCCCAGACCTGAAAGTCAGCAAGTGTCCCTTGGTGCTTCCACCCAGGGCAGAGCTGCCAACACTGATGCTAGACACTGTGCCAGCAGCCATAATGTCGGGTGGCCCTGCCACACTCAACTCCCACTGTGACCTATCGGGAATGCTGCTAGTGGCCCCATTTTATAGATGAGAAAACCAAGCAACAGGGGATGGCGAGGACCTAGGGTTTGTATTTCTAGCCTGAAGCCGCTCACAAAGGCTCTGGGCAGGGACCAACAGTGCCCGGCTTCCTGCTACCAGAACAGACCTCTCTGATGGGAGAAGCCTCATTAATAATGGAATTCCCCATTATGGAGACAAATCTTCAAGGGAGAATTGGGTTTCCAGAGGAGGCCCAAGGGCTGTGTGAAGGAGCAGAGCATCCTGAGGATGCGGCAGGGCATAGAGAGAACGGCTTCCTGTAGGTCCCCACCCAATCGTTTCATCTAGGAGTTACCTGCTGACAAGCCTTCAGCTAGAGGGCTGATGAAAAGCCACAAAAGATATAAACTGCTGCCCTGCCCATTTCTAGCCATCCCAAGAAGGGGCTCTCAATATTCAAATGGGTGTCTTTCAAACACCAGCTTGACTGCCCGGTATTTGGAACTTGGAACCTGATTTCTATTATAATCCGGACTGAGGGCCTCAGAGTAGCCCAGTGAAAGCATTTAATCCACAATAAGGCTGAGATATTGTGTATTTTGGTTTTAAAAGCTCTACTGCTCTACTGTCCCAGCCCCAGCCCCCAACAAAGCAGATGAGCAGTGACAGCGACAGCGTGAGAAAGTTGTATGTGTTTTACAGTGGGAGATGGGTTTCAGGGTGTGGGCTCTCCTGTGAACTGTGGGAGAGACTTTGAGGCACCTCCCAGTGATGACTCCTGGCCAGGCTACAGGGAGGTGTCCTGCTGGGAAGAGAGACTGGCACGCCTCCTCTGCCCACATCACCCCAGAACCTGAACTGTGACCCAGTGGTTCTGTGGTCCTGAGAGAGTCACCTGGTGAAGTGGTGGGAGGTCTAAGAAGAGGGAAAATCAAGTCACACTTGTGGCTGAATGAGGCCCATGCCACCCACATGACAAACTGCAGTGGTTCTGCCAGGAGTGGGCTAATGTCTTTGCAGATCTGGAGCAGCCTGGGCACAGCCCCCCTCTGCAACAAAGCTCCAGTCTTCTCCTGAGGTTCCCCATGACCTCAGACTCTCTAAGTCCAAGGGCCTTCCCAGCCCAGGCTGGGGACCTCTGGGTGGCTTTGACTTAGTGACTCCTTAGAGGTCTCCTCCCCCTCACCTGTCCAGAGACATAACTCAGGGGCAAGTCCTGGTGACAGCGTCTACAGAGGGCTGTGGGGCACAGCTGCAAAGGTCCCCTCCCCTGATCGTCCTTCCGGGGTCTCCTGCTTTCTCTCCCCTGCTGGGTGGGGCGAAGGCTTTGAGAAATGAGGGTATAGAGGGAGCAAGGCCTACACAGAGGGAGAGGCAGATGTGGTGTCGTCTATATCGCACGTAGATTTCTGGGTCAAACACAACCACCCTCCAAGAAGGCAGGTACTGCTACCGCTGAGTCACCCAGGAGGTATCCCAGGCAGGATTTGAACTCCTATCTTATATGACTTCAAGGGTGTCCTCCTTTGTGCTACCCCAGGATTGAGGGATCAGTGAAGGCACTGAGTGCAAAAGGGCCAGGGATCTGAGGGTGACCACAAGCTGAACTTGAATCAACAACATAACAGCTTTCCCTGAAGCTAGTTTGGTCACATTAACAGAAGCACATTCACCAAGGGAGGTCGGAGAGTCTTCCCTAGCCTCCGTGGGTAGAGAACAGTGTTTGGTTCTGGTACCACACTTCAGGAAGAAACTAAATGATAAATCCCAGATAGATACAGACAGTGAATTGGGCTGTGTTTGATGCGACAGGGACTGCTGAGGACTGCAGCGAACTGCTGCTACTTTGCTCAGCCCCAGTCCACTTTGCCAAGTGGAAATGCAGGCCAGATTTTCAGACTTTTGAGAGATGATGGAAATCTGGGTTTTTAAAAAACCTCTTATGAATTTAAAATCAAACATTCTGGGGACAAACCTAACATATCTACAGCCCCCTTCTCCTAGTCTGTGGCTCTGGGGATCAGAGCTGGTGTGTGGAGCTTGTCAGGAGAAGTGGGGGTCTGGGGCTGGGGATCGTTGGAGCAGATTCCGGTCCTGGGATCATGAGGAGGAGGAAGTTGATTTGGCCTGCAGGAGCCTGGGGTGGCTGGGCTGATCCCCAGCGAGGGAGAGAGACTTTGACTCAACCCCACCTAAAGGCGAGCCTCCTGACACCCTGGGGACCCAAAGCCAGAGCAGCTGCTCTGGGCTGGGAGGGCTTCTTGGATGTGGGGCTGAAGACCCGGTGCTTTTGGGGTGCGGTTGGAGGACTGCCCAGCGGAAGTCTTGGACTCTGTCACTCCCCATTCCTGCACTTTGGAACCCATGTCTCCCATCTTGACTGTCTCCCAAACCCCAACTCAGAGTGGATTTTACACTGTCCACAACTTTCCCCCACTGGTTGTCACGGCTACAACTCCAGGCTCTCCCGAGTCCCCCATGCATCTCAAAGCAGCTGAGTGTGGCCCAGCACTAGTGGTCCCAGGACGGTGCCACCACACTCTACCCCACCCCAGGCCTAAGCTTTGGAAATGATGTCCAGCCAGGCGTGATGGCCAGTGCCTGAAATCCCAGCTGTCTGGGAAGCTGAGGCGGGAGGATTGCAAGTTTGAGCCCAGCCTGGGAAACTTAGTGACTTAGTGAGACCCTGTCTCTGAATAAAAAAAAAAAGGGCTGGGGATGTAGTTCAATGCGAAGGCCCTGGGTTCAGTCACTAAGAAGGAACCGACTTCCACATGTCCACATAACCTTCAAGCAACCCCTCCTGAGCTCAATGTACCTCCTTCTGGTGGGTCAGGCGGTTCTCCAGCTCTCGGACCCTCCTCTGCGCCTCCTCTAAGGCCTCCTTGGCTCTGCCTTTCTCCTGAGCAATGTTGTCTTCCAAAGCCTGCAAGTCAGGGGCAGCTGTGAGTGTCCTGGTGACTGTGGCAGGAACCCGAGCTCTGCAGGCTGTGCAAGGTCCGCCCGTGGCCCTGGGTTCACCCCAGGGAGGCTGTGGGCAGAGGAGCCCCAGGGGGCATGGGGATGGGCTCTGGAGGAGCAGCCCCAGGTTAGAGCAGGGTTCAGCCTTTCCAGCAGGGGTCCAGCCCAGCATCCCTTCCCTAGTCCACACCCAAGGGCACCTCCTTCTGCTGGGCCAGGCACTCCTCCAGCTCACAGACCCTCTTCTTCTCCTCCTTGGCTTTGTTTCTCTCTTGGGCAATGCTGTCCTCCAAAGCCTGCAAGTCAAGGATTGTTGCTGAGTGCCCTGGTTGCCATGGCGGGGATGTGGACGCTGCCAGGCTGAGTGGCTCGTCCTGCACTGCTCACCACGCCCATGGGAGAATGTGGGCAGCAGAGCCCCGGATGGAGCCCTCCCCACCATGGGGCCCTGGGTAAGTGAGAACCTATGCACGGGAACCTCAATTTCCCAATCTGTACAATAGGACAGTACTAGTTGACCTGAGGAGTGGAGAGTAGGATGAACATGAGCTAGATGCTCTGAACAGTGACACCACCTATCCCAACTCTGCAGAGGAGGAAATGGGCTTAGAGAGATGAAGAAATTGGGGCTGGGGATTTAGCTCAGTGGTGCCGCTTGCCTTGTAAGAGAAATGAAGAAATCTGCCCCATGGACCAGGAGATCACACAATCAGGGAATTGAACCATGGCCCATTTGATTCTTAAGCCTGTATTCTAAACAGGCATTAGCAAATGATGATGGCCTATAGACCCACTCTGGTCCACTGTTTGTGTTTTATAAAGTTTTATTGGAACATTCCTTGTTCCTTGTGGTCTATGGCTGCTTTTGCACAATGCCAGAGTTGAGAAGTTATGACAGAGACTGTATGGCTGGCAAAACTGAAAATACTCTGTGGTTCTTTATGGAAAAAATTTGCCAATCTCTGATCTCTAAAGCATTAGGGTGAGGGTAAATCAATCAAGCATTGTTAACACTGCATAATAAAAGAAGGAATGACAGGTTTGTTCTACCATTGAAGCAAAGTCCTAAAATAAGCCAGGATTCCTGAGAGGGAGGCTGATGAGTGAGCTTGGACAGTGAATATTTAGAACAGGTAAGGCAAGAGGTGTCACAGGCCATGAGGAATATTCATTAAATACCTAGGGCACCCAGCACTGAAGTCTAAGAGTTCCTCTCAGATGAGCCCCAGGGCCAAGCTGTCAATGCAAGCTTCTCAAGAAGGGAGTTTAGGTCTAGAATGACCCCCTACAAACATGCATGTGCTTAGAGGCAGGTTTTTGGAAGGTGATTGGATCATGGGGTGCTACAGCTGACTTGGAGGAGGTGGGGCCTGTCTGGAGGCGGGTCATGGGACTATATAGCTCCCTTCCTGGTTCTCTGCTTCCTGGCCACCACATGAGCAGCTCGTCTCAGCTGCAGGCCCTTCTGTTATGTTATTTCTGCGTTTGAGCTGCCAACCACAGGCTGAAACTTCTGAAACTGAGCCAAAATACACCTCTCCTCCTTTGTGGCAGCTGGGTACTTTGGTCCCAGTGACAAGAAAGTGACTAAGACAAAGAGTTACCTAGAAGGGGACTGATACCACTTCTCCCCTCTGCTGGTGCTGGTACAATGAGGTTTATGTGTTTAAAGGGGGTTTGAAGCCAGCCCATAAAATACTTCCGGCCAGAAACATCATAATTTCACCCCAAGCGAAAGGCCCACGCTGGTGCCCAAAGGGGTGTTTCACATGGTGAGGCTCAAGTCCCATATCCCCAAAATGGAAAAATCAACGCCAAATTTAAAAATAAGGTATTTGGGGAGCTGATGCTAAAGGGAGAAGTGGTCTGAGATGAGGAGGAAGTAGTGGAGAGTGAAGAAGATTCTGAAGATCTCTAGGGCCTTTCTGGCTTCAGCTTCCTCTCTATGAAATGGTGCCCAGTTTTTCCCTCTATCTAGTTTGCTCTTCAAGATGTGCTGCTCTGACTTATGGCTATCATTAATATTATCTTTGTGGGGATGTCACACAGTTCTTCCTTTTCATCTTTTATTTCACAAAAAGCAGAAAGGCAGAGAAAGAGGCAAAGAGAGAAAAGAGAGGAGGAGAAGCAAGATGTTCTCAGGTGTCCGGATGTGAACTGGAGGATAGAAATAGAAGAGGTGGAGACCTGGAATGGCCTGGAGAGCAGGTGTAAGTGATGGAGGAGGATGGCCCTCCCTTCAATTGAATCCAGGCAGCCCAGGAAGGGCAAGGCTGAGTATTTTTAAAATCTCCTTAATGACAAAAGTGTAGCCAACATCATAAGCCACTGACCTAGGATGATGGTAATCAAGGAAGTAAAATGCATGGCAAGACCCTGAATATCAAAAAGGGCCAACTCCTTGGCCAGGATGAGAACAGGCTTAGGAAGTGCTGTTTTCCAGCCTTCTCTGGAGATTCTGACTTCACAGGTCTGGGCGGGGGCGGGGGGGGCAGCTTTGGGAAAGCCTTGCTCTAAGACTGCTCTAAGGCACAGTCCTGTCCCACTGCCACATGGGAGCCACTGGCCCCGTGGAGTCACATCTATGTTTCTACCCCATCCCACGCTGACTGCTTACACCTTAGCTTTTGAGAAGTGCTGCTGTCTGGTTCCTTCTAATTAGCCTGGTTTCTAGAAAGATGAGTACAGTTTGGGTACTTTTCTCTGATACCTATCCAGAGAAAGCAAAAGACTGAAATAATCCGAAATTTGGCGCACACTTAGAAACAGTCTGTCCCTTACAAACCAGGACTGGCAGTAATGAGTCCAATTTGTATAATCAACTACAATGTAGAAACAAAGTAGCATTTTCCCCAAATTCCAACTCTCCTGACTTTCCTAGTTGATTTTGCTGGGAATTTTGCTGTTTAATTAATATCGATCCACAGCACCAATCCAGGAGTTGCTCAGATTTCCTCAGCTAAGCACATGCCCCACAGAAAAGACCCTCTCATCAGTTTCCGGCTGTAGAGAAAATGGCAGTGACCACCTCACCTCCCTCTCTTCCATCAGCCTCTTGATCCTGACTTTCAGCTTCTCCTCTACCTCCAGCCTCTCCTTGTTCAGCTTCTCTTTCTCCGCCAGATGCTCCTTCAGTGTCTCCTGCAGCACAGCCTGTTGCATTTCCTTAGAACTGTTGATCTGGACCTAAATTGAGGAAAAAAGATGCTGAATCTGACGGGGACAGGACTAAGGAGTCTTTTCCTGTCACGGGTCTTGACAAATTATTTACCTTTCAGGGGACAAAGGTGTTTATAAGAGTTACTCGAAAACACAGACAAACTATCCTTAGCCTAATTACTGGTAGAGAAGTGGTAGAATTTTAAGACTTCAGACTCTGGATCAAGATAGAATATCAGCTCTCGTTACTTCTAAGATGCTTCTCCATTTAGAAAATGAGGTCAATCACAGTATCTACAACTTAGAGTTATGTGGATGAAATGCAAGAACAATGGAAAAGTCTTAGTGCTTAGTACCTAGAGATGCTCAGTAAATAGTTTCTATTTGCTGGACAAATGAGAAAAAACAGTGAGGTGGGAGTTCAGAAGTCTTGAGCTTTTGTTTTGATTCTTTTACCAATTAGCTGTGTGACAAACAAATAGTCACCAACCTCTTGGGACTTTGATGGCCATATCTGTAAAATGATGAGAATGGGCCAGAACAGGAGTTGACAAGCTACAGTCCACAGGCCAGATCTGGTCCACCGCCTGTTTTGTAAATAAAGTTTTATTGGAACAGAGCCATATCTATCTTCCCATTTAATTACCTGGTATCTAGGGCTGCCATTCCGTCTACCTAAGCAGGGTTAATAGGTTTAACTGAGACCATATGATCTGCAAAGGTATTTACTGTCAGCTCTTTGCAGAAGATGTTTGTTGAGCCCTGGACTCAGGTCTCTGGGGCTGATTGGAATGGTGGTCTCCCTTCTCTAGCCTCCTTCTTATCCATGTCTTTGCTTATGCAAATTACAGTGCCAACCCATAGGATTCTCAGGGCACCCAACTCAGCCATGTGACCTGGTTTGGCTAATAGGATATTAGTAGGCATAAGAGAAGCTGTGAATTGAAAAGTCCTGGATGATTGGTTCTGCTCTCTTTCCTCCCTTTGCAGTCTCCAGGAGAACACCCCCAGGCTGGCCTGTTGGGAGAATGAGAGACTTCAGGAGCAGAGCTGAGTTGCTTCAGAGGCCAACCTAGATCAACTAAGGCCAGCTAACACCCAGACGATGAGCAATCCCACCCAAGGTCAGCAGAGCCGCCTGGATGCTGAGCCCTGGCAGATGAATTGGAAATAGTAATTGTTGCTTCTTATACAGCGTTATTATGCCAACAGCTACCATAATGGCACAATCCCTAAGGATCATCCAACTTTAGAATATTTCCTTCCTTTTGATAATTCTGCTGGCTAGACAATGGGCACTGCTCTTCTTCTACTGAATTTCATAAAGATAATTTTTAAGATGTGATGACCTTTAGTCTTCTGGGCTTTTGACCAAGGAAAACAAACAGTGTGGTTAGCCCAGGAGCCCAAACAGGGGGCAGCACCGGTCTCTGCCCTTGCCTGTGGGTGACCTCAGCCACCTTGCTGAATCTCTTCATGGAGAAATGGAGAAATAATTTCATCCCTGGAGGGTGTGGGCTAAGTCCAGGGAACAAATGCACAGTACTATACAAATGCCAAGCAGGAGCTGAAGTGATCATTGAAAAAAAAAAAAGAATTTAAAAGAATTACCTGGAGTTCTTGGGTCTGGCTCATAATTCTTTTATAGTGTTTCAAAAGACATGTGAGATACAAAGAGAAGCCTTGAAAGAGAAGCAGGAAGAAGGTAAGTATCAATTCCATAATGCCTTTGCTTCCTAACATCTTAAGGAAGTCTGCAGACAGGGACAAAAACAACCCCGCCCTCCCGTGGAGGGGGGCACAAGCTGCCATCTGACTTGTGCTTTTTCTTTTTTTTTTTTGGTACTGGGGATCAAACTCAGGTCCTTGTGCTTGCGCAGCAGGCGGTGAAACCACTGAGCTAAATCCCCAGCCCAAAAAGTACCTAGTTTTTTTTTTTTTTTTGGTACTGGGGATCGAACTTGGGTCCTTGTGCTTTCCAGGCAAGTGGCAGAATCACTGAGCTAAATCCCCGGCCCTGTGCTTCTAAAATGGTTGATAAGCTTTGCTTGCACTAGAATCCAAGTTTTTTTTTAGAGGTGGAAAATAAAAACCCATCAGCAGAACACTATCATTCAGAGTGTGCACTGAGTGCAAGTTGTGCCTAGTGTGGGGATGATGTGGAGCCACACCCTGTAGGGCCTTGCACATGGGTCTGAGAGATGAGGTCTAAATGCCTGCTGGGAACATGGGGGACCCTGGGCAGCATGTCAGCAACAGTGAAAGAAGGGGCATGTGAGAGTCTCAGAGGAGAGAGGGATGGTTCACAGGATGGGATCAAAGGCCACTGGCTGTGGCATCGCATGGGCAGCAGTCAGAGAGTGGCGGAGGGGAGTTGTTTCACAGAGTAGGATTTGTTTGGCTGGGTGGGTAGCCCACTGATATTCGGCGCCTAACTCCTGCAACCTGGGAGTGCACCTTATACAGCAAAGGAGACTTTGCAAATGTGCTGTGTAGGATTCTGTGTAGGAGATGAGAGATTATCCTGGATTAGCTGAGCTGGCTCAGTATAATCACACAGGAGACAGTGGGAGATTTATCTACAGACAGCAGAGGGAAGTTGATGTGGCAGAAACAGAGTTGAAGATGCTATGCTGCTGGCTTTAAATACAGAGGAAGCAGCCATGAGCCAAAAAAGAAAACTGTAGAAGCTGAAAAAAGAAAGGAAGTAGATTCCTCCCTAAACCCCCAGCAGCCCTGCCCTTGGCTTTATCCCAGGGAAGCTGAATTTAGACTTCAGCCTCCAGGAATAAATACATGTTTGAAGCCACTAAGTTCATGGTTAATTTGTCATAGCCACAGAAAACTAATCCAGGGTTCAGAGGCAGGCAGGGGTGAGGGAATGCAGTGTGGGTGAGAGGGGGAGCCTCCTGCAGCGGGTGGGCCAGGAGGGGCAGGAGGTAGACTGAAGGAAGCAGCCTGGAACAGTGGCCTAGAACGTGGCAACCTGCTTTAAACATCACAGAAGTGGAGGGAGCGCATCCCGTGTGCCTCCCCTCCACTGAGCCATGGATGCGTCCCCCACTGCAGCAGCTGTCATCGCCCCATCTGATGGATGAGGCAGGGGGACTCTGATCCACATGGCTGCCAATGGCTGGGCCGGGACTCTGGCTCCGGAGCATGCAACTGCAGGGGCTGAGTCAGGGCATCGAGGAGGCTCAATGAAGTGCATTTCTGCAGAGCAATGACTGAGATGAATTAGAAAGGAGCCGCAGGCTGTACTCACACAGTGCTCCTGGTGTGGCCATGGGGGCTGCCTTCTATGCTGAGGACATTTAGCAGCATCTGGGCCTCTGTTCTGCCAGGCAGGGAGGAGTGCCACTCCCTGCCCCAGTTATAACAAACACAAAAGCCTGGGGACTTTGCCAGGTGATCCCTAAGTGTCAGAATCCTCTCCTGTGAGTTAGAAGCGGGGAGCTCAGCTCAGGTATTCAGAGCTGATGTCCTGAACCGGGCATAAGAGAAAAGGAGAGGGGACAGCCAAGTTCTCCCTTGGACAGGTTGAGTTTGACCTTCTAGAAGTTTGATGTTTGGTCCAAGGAGAGCTGGTCAGTAGGGAGCTGGTCAAACCTGGTGGCAAGGCCATTGCTGCCCATCCAGGGTCTTTATGTGAATCAGGAAAGGGCTCCCTTCCTCCTGGTGCCCGGCCCAGGCCTTCCCTGCTGCCTCAGTTTGTCCCCTTTAAGGAAGGCCTGACCTGCATTCTGTCCTGGCAGCCCTGCTGGAGACATTTGTTCCATTTGGATGTCACCTGTAGGGGGATGCTTCTTTGTGAACAAGGAGGCAGGGGAGGGGAGGACCAAGGACTGCCCAGCAGGACTCATTCATCTTAGGGATGGGGATTGGTGAGGGGAGGCTGCTGCAAACAAGTGGAAAAGGTCTGAAGAGAGGCACCTGCCCAGTCCCTGGAGGCGAGTGGGACAAGGGTTGCAGGAGAACTGAGTGCCGCTGGCTGGAGGGGACATGGCCCTGGGAAAGATGGCACCATCAGAGCTGCAGGGGTCTCGGTGTTACCTGGCAAGGGCAAGGCAAAGAGTGGAGAAAGCAGGAAGCTGGCAATGAATATGGAGTGTGGCACACTTCTTCAAGGTCATAGGTGGAGTCAGGAATGGGAACAGAGGAGAAAGAGAAAGAAGTAGTAGAGTCTGTGAGGAATTATTTTTCAAGATGGTGGCGCCATCTTGGGAGCGCTCATTTGGTGGCAAAGGGAAGGAGCCAGGAGGGTAAGAAAATCCGTGGGAGCCAAATAAAGGAGGTTGTCATTCAGGAGGGCTCCAGGCACAAGGGAGAGACAGGGTAGGGAAGAGCAGCGTCTGGGAGGAGGACACTGAGGAGGGTGGAGGGAAGGAAGGAAGCAAAGATGGGAATCGTGAGGGGGCCGGAGAACTGAAAGTGCGCATGCTCCAGCCATGTGCCTTTCAGCATGGAAGAGTGAGAATAAAGATATTATAATAATACCTGTCCAGTATTATGCTCCTGCTATGTGCAAGCATCAGGCCAGGAGTTTGATGCCTGTTTTCTGATCATGATGATCAACCTGGCAAGGAAGAGCGCTCTCATATTTACAGGAGAAACAACGGACGTTCACCAAGGGGAGGCGTCAGAGTTGGCGAGTGGCAGCATCAGAATTCAGACCTAGGTCTTTCTCCTGTATTACAGGAGATTAGAGCGGAGGGGAGAGGAGTGGATAGGCCGGTGGAAAGGGTGCTCTGGGAGAGGTGCGCTGTGAGGACCTCAAGATGGTGGGAGGGGAAGTGGCCCGGCTGACACTGGCTTGGGCTACGGTGAGTACAGGGATTGTGGTGGCTGAGTCAGTGTGTCTGGAACCTGTGACCCAGGATGCAAAGGGGAGGGGTCAAAGCATGTTGGGATCCAAAGAGGATGAAGGTGAGAAGGGAGTTGAGGATGCTGAAGGGGGAGAGGAAGTGTCATGTTTCTGGATTAGATCATGATCCATGATCATAGTGGGATTTTGCTCTTCAGAGAAGAGCAGGTCTTTACTATATTTCTGGCTAGCAAAGTTTTATGTATTCATTACAAAAATCCAGACATTCTGAAATCCAAAATGTGGAGTAAAGAGACAGACCTGCTGTATTGTATCCTCAGTGTTCTGCATAATAGCTGGCACACAGTAAATAGTAGCTGGCACACAGCCTCAATAAATAGCTGCTGACCGACTGAATCAAAGTAAAGGTCCTAAGGTATCCCACCCTGCTGGGATAATATTTTCAATGATTAGATGTCTTTTTCTCCATATTTTTCTTTCAGTCAGATACTTTTTTAGAAGACAAAAATGAGAGCACATGATGCATATTGTATTGCAACTTGCTTCTTTTTCCATTTAAAGATATTGCCTATCTTGGATATTTGAGAATGGGCAATTTTCCACATGTACAGGGAAGTTCTTTCATTCGTAACAAAGTCTTGCAGAAATGGACACAAATAGCTAAGGGTGCAAAGAATGTTAAAAGTCCTTTCATTCCCTTATCAAGGAAGCCTGGGAGGCTGGCAGGGGTGGTGGGAGCTGACTTTCAAGGCTCCCCTGAGACGTTTGCCGTCTTCCCAGTAGACCTAGGATCCCTTCCTCAATCGGACAGCTGGTAACAGGCGCCTGAACCCTACAAGGTGTCACCTTCTGGGGTGCTCAGGTCATCACCCAGCAAGACTTTGAGTGGTTTCCCTCTACTTTTAGACCACCTGGACACCTCTGGGGATTTAGGTCAGAATTTACAAACATGCTTGTTATGTGTGTTTTATTGCTCTGGACACCATTCTAAAAGTTGGGTAGCATAGTGGTTAAGAGCAGGGGCTTTGAGGGCTGAGGGGCTTTGCATGGAGTCTGGGATTTACTGCGTGAGGCGGGACACTGTCATGACTCTAAGAAGGGGGCTAGAAAGGGCTCTTTGTGCTTCCACCTTCCTGGGCTAAGGAAGCCACCATTGATGGCAGATGGAGAGGTGGTGGGTTCCTGATAGGCCACTATGGTGTGAGTAAGTCAGGCAACAAGCACTTGGGCTGAGGAGAGCAGCGCCTACTCACTAAAGGCCCGCTGTGACCTGGGCACTCCGGCTTGTGTGTGTGTCATATCCTCTAGGCCTCACAGAGCCAGCTGTGACTTTATGCTCATAACGAGGTCCAAAGATGTCAAGTAACTTTCCCATGCTGCAAGTAAGTGCACAGCTGAAATTCAAACCTAGATAGTTGGCCTCCAAAATCCAAACTCAGAGCCATTCACGGTAGTGCAAGTGGGGCTTTCCAAGTTGACTGTCTTCACCCAAACTCACTTTGAAACTTAATCCCCAAGGTCACAGGTTAATGGTGTTTGGAGGTGGGGCCTCTGGGAGGTAACTGGGGTTAGATGAGGTCCTGGATGATGGCAGTAGTGCCTTTATAAGAAGCACTACTTCGTGGCGCATGCCTGTGTCGTGGTGACACATGTCGACATGTGTTGTGGCACATGCCTGTAATCCCAGCAGTCTAGGAGGCTGAGGCAAGAACACTGCAAGTTTGAATGTGGGCAGCTTAGCAAGATCCTTTTCCAGAACAAGAAATTAAAAAAAGGGCTAGAGATGTAACTCAGTGCGAAGGCCCTGGGTTTAATCCCCAAGAACAGAAATAAGAAGAAGGAGGGAGAAGAGGAAGAGGAGGAGGAGAAAGACAAGGAGGAAGGTGATGTTGGTGATGGTGTTGGTGGTGATTGTGGTGACTGTGGTGACAGTGGTGGTGGCAATTGTGATTGTGGTGACAGTGGTGATGATGATGAAGGCGGTGATGGCCGTGATGATGGAGGTGAAGGTGACAGTGATGGCGACAGTAATGATGGTGACAAAGGAAGTCACTGTTTGTGACTGAGCACTGAGGTTCCAGATGCCATCCTCAGCATCCTTCATACCTGTCTCAGTTCCCCTCAGGATAGCCCTACAAGGCAGGACCCATGATCCCTGCTACAGAAGGGAGGAAGTCGGCTCCAAAACTGTCTTTACAGTTATTCTGCCAGGAGAAGGTGGCTTGAAGTGCTTCACTTGACTGAGGCCAACAAGGCTCCCCAACCTGTTCATCACCACCACAAGCATCCAAGAACCTTCTGTGTTTGAGGCTTTCCTGAGGGGAGGGCAGGGGCTATGGTCATTTAAATCCTCCTGGGTCCTTCTTGCTATGCTCAGTGTCCCATGAGCTCACAGGATTTCCCATGAGTCTCCTTGCATCTCCCCCGCTGCCCCACAAGGGAGGTGCTACCACTGTCTACTGTGAAGGTAAGGAAAAGGAGACTCCAGAGTGTTTAAAACAGTCACATCATAGGGTCAAAGGGAAGGCTTTGTGATCCTAACACTTGTGTTTTTCATGACCTGGCACTTCCCCTGGAGACCCAGCAGGGTTCCAGGTACATGCGATTCTCAGAGGTAGGTTGTCCTGACCTTGGGCAGAGACCGAGGTAAGATGTGTCATTTCCTAAGGTAAACTCCTCTTCTTTCTCTGCTCCTCTCTTCACACAGACAGCTCTGTGCTAGGAATTAGGTGCCCCAGAAGAGAATCTAGGGGATACTCTAGCTCACCCCTTTCTTTTTGTTGTTTGGACCTCACCCTAATGCTGTTTGTACTGGAAGAGAAAATACCTTTGCCATCAACTCCTCTCTTGGTGAGTGGATGAAGGAGTGGTCCTCCTCACTGACCTTTCTGTTACACTCTCCACGCTTTTCTCCTGACTTCTCAGAGCCAAGTCGTAATCACAGAACATGGCCACTGGCCCAGTGTTTTACCAACAGGTGCTCCACAAAACACTATTCAAGAGACGCTAGTTGGGGATAAGGGTGGCAAGGCAGGAGACCTGCATTTGGGAACCCACATTCTTTTTCCCATCCCTGGGGATCCACAGTGAGTATTAGTAGAGGAGGGGTTCTGCAGAGACTAGTGTAATGTTCTTCAAATCTCACGACGCTGACAAGTCAGGAGGGGAAAATGGCAGATCTGACAAATGCTGCCCACAGCCAGTCTGTCTCAGCCTTTCTTCGATTGCTGGGCCAACAGCTGAACTTCACAGAAACATTTTTCTACTGTGACATATGGCTGGATTTATAGACACAAGCATCAGGGACTGAGATGGTCCCTGAGGAAAGGGGAACAGTGCACACACTGGCCCAGCTGTCACTGCAGCTCCAACCTGGAGGAGCAGCCAAAGGCCTGTCCCTGCTCTACCAGGTTTCGTGTAAGCTAAAAAACCCTGCCATGGTGACTGACTGGGCGGGGAGGACCCCAGCCCTGTCATCCCATCCTACCTCTCCTCTTTCCCCTTTCTCCATGCTATGGAGAGGTGCAGGCACTTAACAAAAAATCAAACTTACTTTGGGTTTTGCCTGTTTTGGAGGACTTTATACCATCTCCCAGCTGGGGCTGTTGAAGCGCTGGGGAAAGTCACTGCTGTGAGAATGTCAAATTCATGCAGCCTTCCGGGGTGGAGGTTTTGGGGAGGGGGTTAGCAAAGAGCTTTGAGTTCCTCAAGGTGTGGCCCGGGGAGCCCCTTCCACCCAATACTTTCTACTTCCTGAGCGACCCTGGCACACATAGGGGTTTACACATGCATGTGTGCACCTGCCTGCTCCACAAACATTTGCGGGGGTCAAGCCCACGTCTAGCATATGGCCTGTTGATTTACCTTCTGAATCTTCTTCCCCCACTCTCTCCCCTGTCCTAGCATGGCCACTGTCATCCCTGACGTCCTGGACAGCCACTCGTTGGCCACCTCTGGTGATGTCCTTATACTGCAAGCCTGGCCCATTAACTCCTTACCTAGAACCTTTCATTGGTTTCTTGCTGCACTTAGGATAAAGTAGGGCTTTTCACCAGGCCCTGCATGCACAGCCCTGTCAACCTCTCTTAGCAGCCCCCCTCACCTCCCCCAATTCTTTTATCTCCTGTGTTCTTCACCCTCCACTTCTCTCTGCCCAGACTGCTCTCCTTTCCATTCTCTGGCAAACAACTCCTATTCATTCTACAGGTGCTCTGTCCTCCCTGACCACATGGAGCCCTACGCTCTTCACAGCAATTTATAACCATTCAAGTTTTACATGTATTTGAATGATTTTTGATTAACACTCATCTCATTCCTCTGTGAGACCATACGCCACATGAGGGCAAGGATAGGGCCTGTTTTCCTACCCCCAGATATTTTATTGTGAAAAATCTCAAACATAAAGTTGGAAGAATTTTGCAGGGAACACCTGTATATCCATGACCTGGGGGGTGCCTGATTCAAACCCCACTGTATCGCTGTCCTTCTTGGTCCCAGCATCTAGTAAGTGTGAAATAAACCCTGTGTTGAGGAAGCAGTCCACACCCTTCCACCTCTGAGATCCTAGGGGTGAATAGGCCTCCATTAAATGATGTCAGCTTGGCATGACCTATGAGTCTGGAGTCCCGGAAGCAACAGACACCCATGTTAGGGGATTGGCTGCATCTCCTATAGTGCAATTCTCTGCTGTCAGTGAGAGTCGTGATGGAGACCTCTGTGTATTGACATGGAAGGGCCTCCTGATGCTGCACCAAAGGAATAGAATAAAGAAAACTAGGTATAACAGGACACTACTCTGGACAGGGTTAAAAATCCTAAGTGAGCAAAGGTAATACTTGTTCTATGTCAGAAACTATTCTAAGTGCTCCACATAGACCCTTGCATTTTAACCCTCACAATGGCCAAACGAGGTAGATACATCTTATTATTTGTGCCTTACAGGTGAGGAAACTGAGGCGCAGAGAGGGGAAGTAACTTGCCTAGAATCACACAGCTATTTCCATGGAAAATGCTGTGGAAGTTAGAATCAGCACTGTAGTTACCGCTGAGAGACAGGAGGGACCATACTTGTGATTTAATTTTCCTTTTGTCTCTGTCGTGTTTCATGTCCTTCAGAGATCATGTTCCACTTTGGGTTTTTTTGTTTTGTTTCATTTTTTGTTTTTTTGAGATAGAGTCTTGCTCTGTAATTCAGGCTAGCCTCAAACTCGTGGTGATCCTCCAGCCTCAGCCTCCTGAGTGCTGGGATTACAGGTGAGCACTACCATGCCTGGCTCTGGGTACTTTTGTTTTAAGTCTTTTTTTTTTCAGTACCGGGGCTTGAACTTGGGTCCTTGCGCTTGCACAGCAGGCAGCGAAACCACTGAGCTAAATCCCCAGCCCTGGGTACTTTTGTTTTAAAGGAAAACCACTTCCCAAGCCAAGTGAGTCTGGAGAAGGGAAAACTTGGCCACATCCCCAGCTCAACAGATGCCTTATCACAGGAAGACTCATCGTGACATTTGAGAGCCATACAACCATGTGAGAAAGAGAATCACAGTAACCTTTGTTGGAGCCAGAAAGCTGGAGGCCGAGGTCCCTGAGGAGCTGCTCTGTTCCCTCCAGCCAGGACAGCAAGAGGCTCAGGATGTGCAGGGTCACCTTCTGGAGCCCCGACACAGGTGGGCTCACCTCAAGGCCCCGAAGAAGGTCCACCTCCCTCTTCAGGTCCCTGCTGCAGCAGGACATTTTCATGCAGCTCTGAAAGCAGACAAAGTTGTGAGCATTCCAGGCTCTGTAGCTAGAAACAGCACCCAGTGCGACTGGGAAAGGACTGGGGTCGTTGACTTTTCTGTGAAGCAGGCAGCACTGCACCCTGGCATGGGGTGGCCCAGATTTTTTTTTTTTTTATTTTTGTGTTGGGGGCAGCTTTTATAGTTTTGTGCTCTGATTTGGAATGTGGATGGTCAAAAGAATCTCCATTTATTTATTTATTTATTTATTTATTTATTTTTTTGGTGCTGGGGACCAAACTCCGGACCTTGTGCTTGTCCAGCAGGTGGCGAAACCACTGAGCTAAATCCCTGGCCCAGAATCTCCTTTTAAGCTATGTGCAATCCCCAAACCAAACTGCCATCCACAATTTGGCTGAAATGAGACCCAAACTGGGTTACTTCTAGTCATCAAAAATCCTGCTGAGATCAACGCACAAGCTGGTCAGAGAGTGTGGTTTCCTGATTGTTTGGAAAGAGTGCTGACAAGCCAACATTCACACAAACTCCCCAAATAGTAGCTGCTGATTTTAAGAGAAAACAGAAGCAGTTTCCAGTTCTGATTATCTCAGGGTGTGGGCTGGGGAGCACCTGGGCCCCATGGTCCTGGCTCCTCCACAGGTAAAGGCAACACATGGGTAGAAATAGCTTTTGTTGCTGTGCCAATAAAGGAAATGCAAATAATGAGCAAGAACGTTTCTTTTGTTTCTCTGGAAATAGCATGAGAGTTGTATTTTTCTTTTTTTCTGGGCTTGGGAACTTCCCAGTCAGTTTATTTTCCACGGGGGTGGGGTGGTTCTAGGACTGTCCCCTGAGACACCACAATCTGAGGGTGCTCTAGTGCCTTATATAAAATAGTCCAGTATCTGCATATAACTTATATGCAGCCTCCTGTATGCTTTAATCATGTCTGGACAGCTTATAATACTGAACACAATGAAGATGCTATATACAGTAGATAGTTTTTATCCTGTAGTTTCTAGGGAATCATGACAAAAAAGGTCCGTTTAGTACAGATGAAAATTTTTAGTACAGATGAATATTTTCACCTCAAATCTTTTTTTTTTTTTGTACCAGGGATCAAACACGGGACCTTGTGCTTGCAAGGCAGGCGGCAGAACCACTGAGCTAAATTCCCAGCCCCATCTCAAATGTTTTTGATCTGTGGGTGGGTGGATACAAAACCCGCAGTTACCGAGGGCTGCTTGTTGGTGGAGATGCTCCGCCTGGCCTTACACGCTCACCTGGGAGGCATTTTAAGGTTCCTGCTTTTCTGTTCTCCAACCAGAGAAAAGGAAGGGAAAAGCAAAGCACTGCTGCGCAACCTGCTCCAGGAAGCCCGACAGCTCCCCAGGTCAGAGCACAGGATGAGACACAGGCACGGCTGTGGACTGTGCGGAGCAGGGGGTGGGCCGGCACCTGGCAGCTGTCCAGAGCCGTCCTCAGCCTCTCCAAGGTCTCCTCCTGCCTGGAGTTGCTCAGCTGGGTCTCCTTCTCCAGGCTCCACTTGTTCTGCTGAAAGTTGATGTTGTCCTCGGTGACCTGGGTGATCCTCTCTATGAGCTGGTGAGAAAGAGAAAAAGGTTGTCACTGGCAGAGTGGCTTTGGGGGCAGGGGACACAGGGTGGCAATTTAGCCGGTGGTGAGGAGTGGGGTTGTGACCTGCGCAGCTACATCGGTGCTGTCATGAGGGTGCCTGTCCTCATTCAGAGATCATCCTGGCAGGTCTTTCTGCACTGGTTGCCAGGAGGATGGCGCACACACAGGCTGGAGAGCAGCCCGCATGTGCTCTTACTTCGCTCTGACCCAGGGGCAGGCAAGAGTCCTGGAAAACTAGAAGGTGGCCGGTAACCACCCAGAGGCCCAGCCTCACTGCCACTGCCACCTCCCCCAGGAACCAGCAGGGCACTTGGACCAAGGTGAGGCCGCCCCTTCCTCACTGGGCCAGCGAAGCTTCAGCGTGTGTTTCTGGTGACCAGCAGGGAGCCTGCCCAGCTGAACTTGATTTTCACAGGACCATTTCGAGGGACTTTAACTGGCTTTTACTTTAAAAGCCAGGAAATCCCATAAAATCAAAACAAATCTTTATGGTGTAGCAACAGCGTGAAAAATATGTGCCACCAACAAAAACAGAAACATATGCTGCCAGGGTCTGGCATCCAGATCTCCAAAGAGGAGCATGTTTGCAGCGCTTCTGTGGCTTCTTTCATTTCTGATTTCGGACTTCATTCTGCTATGACCCGATAGCATGCAGGGGATTATTTAGACTCTTTTGTATTTATTTAAGCATGCAAACACACGGAGATGAACTAATACACAGAAACTAACTAATATTGAATAATCAGTGGATCACAGAGGAAAATGGAGTAGAAATTAAAAAAGTTCCTATGACCAAATGACAGTGGATGCACAATGTAGCAAAACCTGTGGGACACGGCGAAAGCATTTCTAAGAGGCAAATCTATAGCTGTAAATGCATCCTTAAAAAGAATAGTGTGATCCCCAGTAAGTAACCTAATGATGCAACTCATGGCCCTAGAAAGAAAAGAACCAAATCTGAAACTAGTATAAGAAAAGAAATGACAGAGATCCAAGTGGAGATTAATGAAATTGAGACAAAAAGAAAAAAATACAAAAGATCACTGAATCCAAGAGTTGGTTCTCTGAAAGGATGGGAAGGAGATCGGGGGATGAGAAGGGGAAGGGAGGGGAATTTAAAACGATCAAGATCTGAGTGTATTTACTGTGTATCAACAACATACTAATAAAAAAAATTGAGGCGGGGGAAGAAGGAAGCTAAGCAGCCTCACAGTAAGGAGCCACACGAACCTGCTGGTCAGTGATGGGCTTGTCCGGAGACGGCTTCACTTGTCCGTAGGTGGCCTTGATGACCTGGCTTCTGAAGTGCTCCAGCTATAACACAAAGTGGGTGAGGACAGGTCAGTTGGGGCTTGAGGGATGCAGGCAGGGGGTGGGTGGCATTTCCACCTTAGGGTCTGGGAAGAAAAGCCCTGCAAGCCTTAATGGTCATTCTGTGTTATCAAAACCTTCATGCTTCTCAGAAGCAAAGGACACAGCAGGTTTTAATTACTTTGCAGGCAGCCTGTGTAGCCCGGGCCAGGCGTGCAGAGCCAAGCACGTGCATCTCAGGCCCTCGGAAGAGCCACTTGCTGCCAATTATCCAATGGGAAGTCTGGGGCCGGGAGCTCTTCTATAATTGCTAAGTTGGCACCAGACTGTGAAATAAATATTGAAGCTGTCAGCCCAGTAAATCATGTAATCAGCACAGGCGCCTGGGGACAGGAGAATTCTCTCTTTTTTGCCATGTTGTGTCTTAGACCACAAATGTCCCAAAGACGCTGTCCACTGTAGCCATTTCTGTATCCTTGGAGCCTAGCACAGGGCCGGTGATGGAGGCGTCACTCAGCAAGCACTCATTGGGCACCCGGATACAGAAACATCTGTTGAGGTCAGGTGCCTCTGCATCAGTCCCAGCAGCAGGTGTTCCCTGCTGTGTGCTGGTGTTTGTAGGTAAAGGTGGGTAGTATAAGGGCAGGGTCACATCAGCACTCACAAAATCAAGGTCCTGGACTCCATCCGAAGGCAAAGACAAAGACCACTGTCTCAGATTGACCTGCATGGCTGCCCTTGGTTGGCTGTGTTTGTGACCACTGGAAATATGTGGTCACTAAAGGCTCTAACCCAAAGCCCTGGAGGGACCCAAAGGGCCACTGGACCAAGAGAGAAATCAAGGGGTCCAAGATCCAGGAGCTTACAGCACATGGGAGTTCTGGGCAACCAAGGAGTGAGATGGTTGACAAGGACAAGTCTGAGGTCCCCCTGCCAGAAGTAGATCAGGGTGCTAGGAGATAGTCCCAGGGCAGGTCCCAGCTGACCCAAGGAGTTGGCTATTTGGGGAGGCCCTGTGAGCAGAGTCACCCAAGGCCAGGGATAGAGGGAGGGACAGGTGCTCCTGGACCATGGGCTTCATCCTGGAGTCACTTGGCTGGGAAGGGCAGGATGTCAGATGGTGGCAGGGCCATGGAGGCGACAAGGTGGGTGGGAAGAACCCGGGTGGCAGAGAGGGCTGGCCCTGTCTTGAGCTTGCACCTGGAGGAGCCAGGGTCCTCCCAGGTGACCTCTGCCTAGAGCCACAACGAGGACCGTGGCCCTTGGGGAAGGGGCACGGGTCATGTCCTCAGATCAGTTGTGTACTGGGGGGTATAGAGACAGGGAAGGTGAGAATAGCTCAAGGTTGTGCAGCTAGCAAGGCCCATGCCTGTGAGGGTGGGCAGGAGAAGTGACACGGCTGTGTGTGCCTGTGGCCATCGTGCATGTCTGCTGAAGAGGGTTTAACCTCTGCCCAGTACTTAGCATCTTTATTGAACTGATGTGCACCTCTAGTGTCAGCACGAGGACAAAGCCCAGTCCCACTGCCTGATTAAGGCTTGGACGGTGCCAGTGGAAGGGCTTTGGGCACCAGGCTGGTGGTGTGGGGATCCTTTGTGGACTGTGGTTCTTAACCTTTTGGGGGTTCACAGCCCTTCTGATATTTGATGAGTGACATGGTAGACCCTCCCTCCTAGAAATACAAAGCTTTCTCTCTCATCTCGTCTCTGTCTCTCTCATCCTGTCTCTGTCTGTCTCTGTCTCACACACATACACTCCACATACATGTTCTATGATCCTCAGAGCTGTCATCACTAGGAGAGACCCCTGCACAGGAATGGAAGTCGGTGGGCTGTGGTCCATTCTGGAGGACCGGGGGGCTTTGGTACAATGTTGTCTGTGAGTTCCATCCTCACGGCTTGGGCCTGTGCACTGGGCATCCACCGGCTGTCTTGGGCCAGTGCTTCTGAGAGACGGTGCCTCTGCCCAGCCAGGTCAGGGCCTGCTCCAGCTTCCTTTTCTATCAGCAAGGACTCGGGACATGGGGGACTGCTTTATTAAGGAAAGTGTCATTTTCTTATGGACACTGACTGTGACCTCTGCTGGGGTCCCAGGGTAAGAAAGGTGGTGGTCAGCATCAGGACTGGGAACTTTAGGGAGAAAGCACTGGAGACACCACGAGGGACCTGAGGCTGGGGCAGGTGTGGGGCCAGGCCTGGCTGCTCAGCCAAGTCTTAGTGAGGAGGCTCCCAGCAGGAGAGAGCTCTTCAGTGCCATCCACTGGTGTGGGGAGCCACAGAGGCCCCTGGCTGTGAGATCCAGGGAGAAGTAAGCCACATCTACCCTCTTGCCTCAGCCTTCTTCCTCTTTCACACACCGCATGGCCACCTGGGTGCAGGAACCACCAGGGAACCAGGCCAAGGAAGGGGCCCTGGACACGCCTACCTGACCTACTGCCCTTCCCAAATTGACTTTAATGAGGCTCTCTCTGTTTCCCATCTCTTGCAGCTGGAGCAATTTCCTCCTGGAATCCTCCTGAAGTTTCTCTTCAACCTAAAAGGATGATGAAAGCACGCACTAGCTGCTAATTCGGTCATAATACACCCTGGGGAGCTTCCTCTAGGGTCTAATGGCCGTGAGGGTCCTGGAGGGGTGGGGACAGCTGCAGCCCATGTGGCAAGGGTCACAGGGTGGCCTGGGTAGAGGCCGGTGCTCTGAGTTCATCCTCCCCCAGGATTGGATCCTGTTGCCATCCCTAGCAAGGAGTGTGACATTGAGAGAGCCATTTCACTGGTCTGTGACCTGTGTCCTATGGGGACAAATCAGGGCAAAGATACTTGTACCACCTCCAGAAGAATGTTTAGCATGGTGCTGTGTTAGGTATGGGTGTCACTGTGACCAGTGGCCAGAATGTCTGCCATGCAGCTTTATTCTAACCCTGAGGAGCTGGCCCACAGGGGCTTCGGTGCAGGTCACACTTGGGTTTCTCGTCCTATCCATTTGTCATTACTACTTTGTGGCAGTCACCAGTAGAAATAGCCCTGGGAGCTAAGACGGCCATTATGGAGCTGCAACCTGAAAGGTAGATGTGGAGGCAGAAATGTGCCTGTTTACTCCCTTGCTTCGCTTGTGGTCCGAGCTAGGTGAGCTGGGAGTGCTCAGTGCTTCCCTCTCATGGCCATTATGCCGCCCTGCAGCCTCGAAAGTCAGCGCTAAACAGTACTTTGTGAGGGTTGTCTGAGTCCCGCACTACCAGGAAATGAGGTGAACTCCCCTGCCCCACCATGTGAAAAGATTTTGTGCTGAAAGAACCTCACAAGCTGTTTCTTAGGGGATGCACAGATGTAATAAAAGACCCCAGACAAGCTGGGTGTGGCGGCGCATGCCTGTAACACCAGCACTCTGGGAGGCTGAGGCAGGAGGATTGTTAAATTTTGAGCCCAGTCTGGGCAATTTAGCAGCTTAGTGAGACCCTGTCTTATAATTTATAAAAGGGGGCTGGGGGCATAGCTCAGTGTGAAGGCCCTGGGTTCAATCCCCATAAGTATAAAAAAGCCCAAGCTCAACCCAGGCCAGACCTTTGGAGCTTTCTTCTGAGCAGTGTGGGGCAGTCTGGAAGAGCCAGCCACCCCTTAGGTATCAGTGGCTTTCTGTGAGATCCCTCTAGCCTGAGCACCTGGCTTTCATCCGGCAGGGGTTTCCAAGTGCTGCACAGGCAGAGGCCACTCTTGGATCTGCTCTGTGCTCCTCATCTTAATGTATGGCCTCCCTGGTCCCAGCCCCATGCCCAGAGCCATTCCAGCTGCTACCTGCCCCACCTGACACACCGCCGTCCTGTCCTCTGTTCCAGTGGGAGTAGGACCTCATCAGTGCATCAGTGCTGGTTTACTGAACTCCTGCCCTGTGTGGCCCTAGGCCAGGCACCGAGGACCCTTGGCTGGCAAGAAGTGGCTCCCAGAGAGTCCCTAGGCTGAGTGTTCCGTGACGATGTGCAGACGACTTGGCTCTGTGCCATCTGGCGTGGTGGCCACTGGCACGTCTGCCCACTGAACACGTGAAACACAGCAGCATACTGGGGTTTAGATTTACCTTCTTGTTCAGTGGAGGTACTGAATTTTAAGTTTTATTTTAAAATAAAATCTATTTTATTTAAACAAAGATACAGAGGAATTGAGTTTTAAATTTTGTTTACTGTCCAGTTCAGTCATCTCGTGTGCCTAGGTGCTAGGCCACAGTAACTGGCCTCGGACCAATCTGGCTTCCGGTCTTGGCAGTGCCCCTTCCTCAGTGCAGGGCTTGGGTTTGTTCCTGGCCTCTTATCCTTTATCTCCTCCCTCACTTCCTCATCTATAAAATAGGGATGACAATGTCTAGATTGGAGACCCGATGGGAAGATGGAAAGAGGTGAATGCTTGGCATCATGCCAGGAACATGAACAGTTATGGCTATGGTGACGACTGTTACAGTTACCACAAATTTAATCACATCCGCCCCTGCTCATGGCCTTCAGAGCCCCCAAGGCCTCTGCAGTGCATAGCCCAAGCCCCCAAACCAGGGAAAAACACCAAGCCAAAGGATGCCAAGAACCTATACGAATTCCAAACAAGATAAATAAGTGAGTCCATATCTAGAGAAATCACAGTTAAACTTCTGTGTGCCAAAGGGACAGAAAAACCCTACAAACAGCCAGAGAAAAGACAGAGCACAGCAGCGCAATAGTCAGGCTTACAGCTTTTACCTCTAAATAGAAACAACGGTGTTGGGAGCAAGGCTACATAATTCTAGGGAAAAATCATTTGGCTAGCCTAGTTCGCTTGCCTACAGCCAAGCTACAGAATAACTCCAGTTTGGCCCCCGGTCACAACTGAGACTTCAGTGATCCAGTGATGCTGTGATTCTCCAGGACAAGAAACATCCTGGGAGAACAAACATCTGCTCGGTTCCTCATTGTTCTTGGACTGATTAACATCTTGTTTGCCGGAAATGTACTGAACTCTCTGCAAGCCTTCCGTTACACCTTGTTTATCCCAATGTGAACTATTGAACTCTCTGCAAGTCACTTGTTACATTTGTTTCTCCCGATGTACTGAATAAAAGGTGCGGTAAGCTGGGGGCTTTGTCTGTGCTGCCCTGAGCAGCACTGATCAGATCCAGACCTCAGCTTCTTCTCAGTCTCATTTTTCTACCTTTCCTGTAATTCGCCGTGTGCTGCCGTGGCTCGCAGGAGACCAGGACTCACTGCAGAGGTTCTGGTAACGTCCCCTTCCCCTGTCCCCTACACAACGGGGCTGGGAGACAACAGAATGATGCCCTTGTCAGGTCACCTTCTCATTACTGGGACACAATACCCGGCACCCACAGTGTGAAGGAGCAGAGGTTTATTTGGCCCCCAGGTGGGGACAAGACAGAAACAGCAAGGTGGACTGGTCTGGGTGGAAGACAGGCGCTCACAGGGCAGCCAGGAAGCAGAGAGAAGGGAGGAGCTGGGACATGAACACACCCTTCCCGGTCCCCAACCCAGGAACCACCCACCACCCCGGGGCCTCCAACCAAGCCCCAGGCCCTAACAGCCAATCGGCTCTAGGACCCCAGGATCCAATCACTTTCCAAACACACGAGGCTTTTGGGGCTACTGTAGATCATAGCAGTACTTAATGTTACCTATAATGTGGTGAAGTGCATAATTAAATATTCAATCAAATTATGTTAAAATGAAGGTTAAGGGCCAAGTGTGGTGGTGGATACCTGTAATCCCAGCACTCAGGAAGCTGAGGCAGGAGGATCATCATGAATTTGAGGCCAGCCTGGGCTACATAGTGAGTTCAAGGCCAGCCTGCACTACAAAGCAAGACCCTGTCTCAAAAAAAATGAAGATTAAAATAGATATTTTTAGACACACACACATCCTCTGGAGACTTGTCATCAGCAGGGTCATGCTGAAGGACAGCACTAAAGTATGGTCTTTTAGAAGGCAATGATTCCAGGTGGGTGATCAGAGAGGTAGAAAAGGCACAGCCAATGGGAAGATGTGGACATGGGATGTTTGAAATATTCATGAAGTTATTAATATTTTATCATTAGACATTGACATTATTATGTTAAAATGTCAATATAATAAACTACGACATTTGGGGTTTCAAATACAGAGTAAAGTTTAGAAAATGACAAGGGCATATAGGTCTGTGTGAGGTAAGTGAAGTCACTCAAAGCATCACTGTCTAAGGCCACTGTGTCATCCAGGAGGAGGGCACAATCATCCGTGAATACTGGATTTTGGTAAGTTGAAAATGTGTGCTGTAATCTTTGGGATCACACCAAAAGAATAGTAAAAGAGTGAAAAACAGTCTTATTGCATTTTGGTAAGTCATGAATGCATGGTATTGTCTTACTATTACTAAAAGGGACTGTAAGAGTGAAAAATTTCTGAGCTAAATTAGGGAAAAATGAGTGAACTCAAAAGAAGGCAAGAATGGAGAGGGAAAGGAACATAGCATAACTGGTACATTGGGCACTGAGAAAGAAGGCAAATTTAAACCCTAGTATTCCAGATATTACACTACATGTAAATGGGTTAGAAGACAAAGACTGTCAAACTGGACTGTATAAAAACCATGTGTTGTTAACAAACTTAAAGACTGACAGAAAAAGTATGAAAAATGATGAAACTCTAATCAAAAGAAAGCTACTAGAGTTGGTGGAGTTGTATTAATGACAAAATGGACTTTAATGGAAAAACAGTGCTAGCAATGAAGAGAGTCATCTCATGAGGGTCAAAAGTTTGATTCAGTAGGAAGCATTAAAAAAGATAAAATTGGGCCGGGGATTTAGCTCAGTGGTGCCACTGCCTGACTCAAAGTGCAAGTTCCTGAGTCATATGCACCTAGTAACAGCTTCAAAACTTAGAAAATCGACAATACTCAAAAAGGAAATAGACAAATCCACAATCATGATGGTATTTTAAAAATGCCATTCTTAATGACTGACAGAACACAGACAGCAAAAAATCAATAAGAGCATTTCAGTTTTGAATACCATTGGCAAACCTGCTTTAATGGACATGTATGGAATACTGTACCCACTGAGCACAGAATGTATATGCTTTTCAAATGTACATGTGGAACAATGATGCCCGTAGGTCATAAAGTAAGTGTCAACTAAAACCAAGGATTGGAGTCACACAGAGGCTGTTCTCTGACTATAGGGTAATTAAGTTAAAAGCCAATAAAAAAAGGTAATCAGAAAATTCTCGTGTACTTAGAAATTAGGAAATATACCCATGAATCAAAGAAGAAATCACAATGGAAATTAGATAATAATTTTAATCTGAATAATAATGAAAATACCACACATTAAAACTTGGATACAGCTAAAGACTTGCTTAGAGATAAATGCATGGCCCATAGAGCAGGTTGAGTCCATGTTCATGACTACAGCTATTTTAATGAGAAGTTAATTCATTTTCATTGAGAAGGTGTTTTGCAGAATGATGTTCATTAAGATAGTGGTATAGAAGATTTTCTAATGTTTCCATTTCCATTCTTATTTCCCTAAAATTATTTTTATATGGAACAATTTTTTCTGGGTAAATTTTATAAATACTATTTGATTTACCTACAAGTTTTCTGGTCTTTATCAATTTTATTTTTTACCGGGCATAGTTCTGTTGTCATGTGTTTGATTTTGTGATCCTCATTTCCACTAAGGCTTATTCCTACCTCCAGTATATTTGGTGCACCTAAACTTTTTGGAGAATATTTGACTCTTCTCTCAAGTTTTAGTCAATATCAAATTTTACTGTGTGGTTTCTACTATTGGTTTTATTTTGTGTTAGTTACTTCTGTCAAGCCTACTATGTCTGGTCACCTTTTTTTTCCGCAAGCTTTAATATTATCAACAAGATGCAGTGCATCAGGCAGTTCTTGTCTAGTATGTATTTTATTTGTGAAGTTTTATTGGTTTTAGTTTGTGGTGTTTATTCTGACAGTTAAATCAAGTAAAAACTGGAGAAAACAAGGTCATTTGCTTTTATTTCCCAACCCTTGAGCGATTCCTCTCACACAGAATTCCCTGCTGTTTGGATTTGCTCTTAAAATATTCTTAGTTTTCTCAGTGACAATGGTCTTATCACATAAAGTAGCTGCTTCAAGTTGAAAGACTACAGATTTTGCCCACCTTGCTCAGGACCCTTACAGATATTTTCAGTTTAGAATTCTAAAAATCTGCAATCCATAAACATATTTTAACCCTTCATTTGGTTATGTTGTCAAAAGTGGTCATTCACCATTGTTCTCACCAAGTTGAAAAAACAGAACTTTCCATGATGTGGGGCAATGGCCTGGTTCTGTCCTGTCCAGAAGGATGGCCACTTGCCACACATAGCTGTTCAGCTCTTACAATGTGTCTATGCCACTGAGGAACTGAATTTGTTTTATTTACTGATTTCCTGGGAAGGGGGAAGGGATGGTACTGGAAATCGAACCCAGGGCCTTCACACTGAGATCCTCCAGCCCTTTTTATTTTTTTAAATTTTGAGACAGCATCTTACTGAGTCTTTAAGTTGCCCAGACTGGGATCAAACTTAGAATCCTCCTGCCTGCAGAATGCTGGGATTAGGGGTGTGAATCAGCTGTTTTACTTTTATTTAAAATTTTAATAGTTCAGTGTGGCTGGTGTCCACTGTGGTGGATGGCACAAGTCTACTGTACCTAAGTAAGGGTTTTATCCCATTATGGGGAGGGATATGAAAATAACTAAGCAACAGAAAACCCACTAGGATCTGGAGGTGGGAGTAGGTCTTGGTAAGAAAAAAGGAAAGAGCAGTTTTGGAAGGCAGTCTGGAGTGGTGATTACACACAGCTCTGGATTCAAGTCCTGCCAAGTCTACTTTATCTGCGTTAACAAAGGTGACCCCTCTCTCAGGCTAGTCAGGGTAAATACCAGCCTCGACCACACGGGGTCGCCGTGGGGAGCGGGCAGGAGTACCTGGCTGGGGAGGCCCTAGGTCTGGGGGCGGGGGGCATGGTCCCGGCCTCACCTACCTTACTCTTCTCTTGCAGCGTCCTGGAGATGGCGCTCTGCTCAGAACAGCTCTTCCTCAGCTCCTCCCTGAGCTTCTTCATTTCTTTCTCCATTTCTTGGATTTGCTGAAAAGTTTCAACCACAGCGAAGTCAGTTTCCCTTGGGCACAGCTGGCTCTGGGAAGGCAGGGGTCCTTGGAGCCCCTTTCACCTAGCTGGTAAGGGGAAACTGAGCTGGCTCAAGTCCTTCCCCCTGTGAGAGCGCTACCTCTGTGGGCGAAGCAGACCCCCCCCCCCATTAATGTATTAAACTGCCGGCGAAGGGACATACATGTAGCTTGTTTTGGAAATCAGCACAGGTGCTGGGTTAGATCCTACAAACTGCTCATAAAGTCATTAGAGTCCCTTCTTTGAGGGAGATAAATAGTAAAAAATAGTACTGGGGGTGGACCTGGGGCTCCCACGTGCCAGGCAAGTGCTCTACCACTGAGCTACACCCCAAGACCTTTTCATATTTTATTTTGAGGAAAAATCTCACTAAGTTGCCCAGGCTGGCTTCTGACTGTGATCCTCCTGCCTCAGCCTCCAAAGCAGCTGGGATAACAGGCACATGCCCGCACACTTGGCTTGGGGTATATTTTGGAGATCAACCTAAATAAGGGCCAACTACTTGGGAAAATGAAATTTTTCTTTTTTTTTTTTCTGTTAAGGCAGAGAGAAGAGCTGTCTGGGCCTGAGAAGAGCAGGCCCCCTTCTTGCATTCAGGGTGTGGTGCTTCCCAAGAAATGGAAGAACTCGGCCGGAGATGTATGTGTGAGGGGACCCTGCTGTATAAGGAGCAAACATTATATTTTAGTTTTCTTTCTTCTTTCTTCTTCTTCCTCTTCTGCTCCTCCTCCCCTCTTCTTCCTCTTCCTCTTATTATTATTGGTTTTTTTGAGACAAGTTCTCTCTATGTTGTACCGGCTGCCCTTGAAATCACTATGTAGCCCATGCTGGCCTTGAACTCCTGGGAGTCCTCCTGCCTCAGCCTCCCGAGCGCTGGGATTACAGGTGTGCACCACCACACCTGGCTCAAACCGTTTAATAAAGGCTGTATTTTTGTTGTGCTTATGATTGCCTTTGGTATGAGGAAATGATGACTTGGGTTTGTTTTTATGATTTGGTGTGACACTGATGCCTGTGAGCCGAAGTCCTTCCAGGAGAAGTTTGTGTCCACAGCAGTGCCTATGGCTCTGCTCACACAGAAGGCTCAGGATCCCAGGACCAGGGCAGGAAGCAGGGTGAATTCTGAGCAGCGTGTGGAGGTCAAGTGGCCAGCTCCAGTCTCCATCCCTCTCCCTGACCTTGCCCAGCCCCAGGGGAAACCCATGAGGGGGAACGGAATCCTGGGAGATAGTGTCACTGTGCCTGCTGGGTAGAGGCAGAGGCTGCAGGGTTGTAAGACTGTTCAAGACCAGACAGAAGCCTCTGAGCTCGGCACAGCACTGGTCACGGTTTCCCCGAGGAAGCCATGGTCAAGGTCTGGTTTCCTGTGTGCCCCTTCGAGCAAGGAGGTTTGACTCACGGTTTTGCAGCGTTTTAATTCGTTCTCCTGGGCTTCCCTGAGCTCCTTTTGGGCAACTTCCTTTTTTAACTCTTCTTTGAGGGCTGAGCACTGTGGGGAAAGGGACAGCAAAGAAAGAGCCAATGCTGGCCATGCAGGGGTGCTCAGGGGTCCCAGGGTCCCTATTTGCCCGGAGAGCATTTCCTGGGGTCCTGCTCCACTTACGCAGATCTCCAAAGGCTTTCAGACCTGCTTTGAAGGTGGGGATAGGGACAGGATTCTATTCTACTCTAGTACGGAGCCCAGCCATGGAAGTACATGCTTATAGGTGTGCTTGTGGCTAGGTTAGAGAAACAAATTTATACCAAGTACTAGGGAATGTCTGCTGGGTTTGAATTCACATTGTGCTTGCTCTGAGCCATGTGCATACATGGAAAAGCTGTAAAGAACACAGCCACCTATTTTTGTCCTTTGTAGGGGATATTTTAGGATTTGGCTCATTCTGAGCTTCCTCCTTATGCCCTTGGGCACTGGGCCCAACCTCTAGGAGGCAGTGAAATTAAAATCAGGACCCAAGGTAAAAGAAATGAGTTGTGTCACATCACTCCAATGGCAAGATGCAGAGCCCAGGACACTCACCCTGGAGCCCAGGGCCTCCAGCTGGTATTCTTTTTCTTTGTTCTGATTCTTTAGTCGATTCACCTCCTCTGTTAGCTGTCGCACTTGCGCATTCCTTGCTAACATGTCTTTTTGTAAAGATGTCACCTTCTCTATTAAAAAAAAAAAAGATGGAGATCAAGAGGCAATAAGAGCACTGTCCTCATCTCAGCCCCTGGCAGCTGGGTCCAGGACAGCCCTGGCCCCGAGGAAGGAGCCGTCTCTGTTGACCCCAGAAGCTGGAACAGACTGAGACCAACATCTGACCATCTGTGGAAGTCTCAGGGAGAATCAGAAGTCAGCGGTGTCACTGTGGAGGACAGACACATGGGGCCCTCGGGGGCCCAGGTCCTGCAGGGCCAGGAGGAGGGAAACACATGGGTCTGGGGAGCAGAGGCCTGGCAGGGTGGAGGCCAGGAGGGACAAGGAGAGTGCCATGGGGCTGCTGGTACATCCTGGACACTAGTGATGGGGAGTCTGGGTGGGTGGATTCACCTCCATCCCAGCTTGGAACCCATCTCTACCACTTCTTAGCGCAGGGTCTGGAATCTCAGCTGCCCTGGCCTGAGGACCCTCAAGCAGTCCTAGGGAAAACCCCTTGTGCTGAGGAATGGAGGCCACTGAGACCCTGTGAAGGGACCTCAGCTCTCGCTGCAGCTTTGGATCACTGGACAGCAGCTCCCATCAGTACCTTTACTGCAGCCTTAGACACCCTGAGCCAGAACCAAGTCATCCCCCAATTTTTTAACCACAGAAACTGAGTGAGGCCATGAGTATTTGTTGTTTTATCCGCTGAATTTTGGGAGAAAAGTAATAACGAATACACTATTATATTATTTTGAGGAGAAGTGGGAAGAGGGGTGTGGAGGTGCAGGGGTGTGGTACTATCTCACACGATTCTTTCTCAGAAGAACATTTGTCCTGGTCTTTGGGGGTGTGGTGTCAACCAAGCAGGTTTGTGTACTAAGGAGCAATATGATTCAGAATTTCATTTTTATTTTTATTTTTTATTTTTGGTACCGGGGATCAAACTCGGGTCCTTGTGCTTGCGCAGCAGGTGGCGAAACCACTGAGTTAAATCCCTGGCCCCAGAATTTCATTTTTAAAATGAGCTTTGTTCTAAGACACAGCTCCTTGGATACAGGTCGACCTCTTTGGGGCCTTCAAGCTTTGTTAGGTGAGACAAGAGTGGCCTATAGTCTACAGCTAGACTAATTGAGCCCATAGCCTTCGTACTGAGCTACATTCACAGCCCTTTTGACTTTTTATTTTGAGACAGGGTCTTGCTGAGTTTCCCAGGCTGGATTCAAACTTGGGATCTTCCTGCCTCAGCCTCTCAGAGAGCTGGGATTATAGTGCATGGTACTAAGCCTGGCTCAGCATAGCAATCTTGACTGTTGCTCCAGTGCCCAGCAAAGCGCCTGGTACCTGGTGGGTGCCCAATAAATGTGCTGAGTGGGTAGATGGATCTAGGCTAAGTAACTGCTGTGGCTGGCAAGGGTAGGTCAGAGCTGGCTGCCCAAGCTCTTTGGCATGGAACTCCCGCTTCTCATCAATTAGCAAAACACCTTCACTGGGGCCCAAGAGGATAGGTAAGTGGGTGAGATGCTGGGCGAGTCAGTGATTCGTCACTTCAGCCACACTCTAGTTTGCCTCCATGGCACCCTGGCTCAGGCACTGCCCAGCCACATGGTATCCTGTGCTCTTCCTTCCGAGGTCGGTGCTCAGCTGGCCTCTGGCTGAGAGCACATTTGCTCACACACTGATGCTGGACTGACTTCAATGCAGCCCGCACTGGGAAATGGCAGCTAGACTCCCCAAGGGTGAGCTCTAATTCACTGATGGTGCTGCCTACAGGAGCACTGGGAAGAACTCAAGTCTGTGCCTATGTTTGGGGAGCAAAAGCACGGTGATTGATTGGTGATGTCTGCCAGGGGCATGGACTTGGAGCTTGAGGGGCAGCATGCACCCAACCCCCATGCTGCTCACCTGCTGTGATGGCAGTGGCCCTCCTCAAGTTCTCGCCCTCACTCTTCAGGGATGCAATCTCTGAGTTCCACTTGGACAGGGTCTGGCACAGCACGTGGCTGTAGCCCTTCTGCAGGGCACTGATCTGTGGGAGGAGGCAGCACACAGTCAGAGGGCACTGGCCCAGCTAGGAAATGCCTGGTTCTTCCCCAGAGCTGGCCAGAGATCCTGCCTGCTCTTTGGCTGGGGTGTTGGAGAAGCCATGAGCTTTTGTGTTAATGAGTGAAAGGGATGGGGAAGGGCCTTTTCCTACATTGGCTGCCTTTTCCTATGTAACCAGCACATGATCTGATCTTGGTGCCCACTGCGGGCGTCAGGGCCCAGCTGCCATTGGGTATCTGACTCCTTGCCATGAGTTCCTTCAACCCCGGACACTCAGCCATCAACAGACCAGCCTCACACACTGGGTGTGGAGCAAAGTTCCAGGGAGGGGAGTAGCTTGGAATATGAATCCTCTCAGACAATAATAACAACAGGTCATATCTCACAGAGCATTTTAGAACTTTTGAGGCCTGCTCACAGACACATCTTCAGCAGAGCTTTGCAGCTTCCCTAGACAATGTCCCCATTTTTGCAAGACAGGACGTCAAGACTCAGAGGGGTGGGGTCATTGCTCAGGATCCCGGCAGGTTAGAAGGGAAGTTCTGACCCCAATCCAGACTTTAGGTACCTGATTCTGGGCCCTTCCACCTTAGCATGGTTCTAGGATCCAGCACAAAAAGCTGGCGGCTATAACACATAGCACGGGCTCTAGAGCCAAACCACTGCCCTCAAATCTACCTCTGCTGCCTTCCAGCTGTGTGAATGAAAGGAGGACACTGAACTCTCTTTTTCATTCTGTGAATGCGTTAGTGTCTTGATCTCACAGGACTGTTGAAAGTATCTGAATAAGTTAGCGTACATGAAAGCACATGACATAGATATTAGCTACAATTATTCCACTGTGTTTTAGCTTTAGCCTCTCTTGCCTATCTTAGGAAGAAAGATTGATATTTTTGTGTGCATTTGTAAATTGTGCCTAGGCTCAAACACCAGTGTGATTGCTGCTGAGAGGAAGGAAGCATCCTTGTTAATTTTTTCACCCCGTGGGGATGGCAAGAGCAGGATGGAGGTGGGGAGCATGCACAGAGAATGTGGATTTTGGTGCCTCATCACCAGGTGGCACTCATAGTCCTTGTTTCTGGTTCCTGTCCCTGTCCCTGAAACTTGTGATTATTCCTTGGTGTAGTATTGGCAGGTTTGACAGTTGATGTGACTCATTTCACACACCCTCAGGGTTTAGATTCTATGACACTTGAGGTAGTCACACTATTTTTCTCTGGAGCATCTGAGACACAGAAGAGGAGTGCTAGGAAAGGGAGGCCACAGGCTACTCTGTCTTCTACCTGTCCCAAGCCAACACTTTGCATATTTCTGTTTTGCAAGCTTTGAGTGAAAAGAATCCTTCCTGCTCTCCATTAGGAAATGCAACCTTCCCTTAGGAAGGCACTTGGGATATATTTTTTTAAACGTTGCTAGTTCTTAGTTTAATGCCTTTGTTTGCAAGGTAGCAGAGGCACAGCACGAAGATGAACTTAGAGAAAGGCTGGGAAGCAGTATCCCCTATTTCAGTGCTGCCTGACAGATAAAAATATTTCAATATAAGTATTATCAGAGCTTTAGGATTTCAGATGGTGGAGCCACTCCAAACAGTTCAAACCTCTTTGTTACTTTCAGTACTAAAATAAATATCCATATTGTCTATAATTGGCATAAATCCAAGGATGTTTATTGCCTGTTATGCTGTGTAATAAAATGGGCATTGGATCATAAGAAAGTTAATAGTGCTAGGAAGAGTGATTGCTTCGAGATAATAACCTATCTGCTAATTGGCACGAGCAGCACAAACTGCATGGAGGTAAGCATTTCCTGGTGGTATTGTAAAAGATTGAAGATCTTTGAGAGCAAATCATTATGCACATTCTTTCTGGGGACTAGCGAGAATATATAAAGTAATCAGAACAATAAATCAGCCTGCCATGTGGCTTACACTTCTGGCTGGGTGTTTGGGTGGCAATAGAATATTTACGAACCTATAATGTGAGCAGATGAAATTTGATTTGGAGTCAAACCAACTGCATCCTCTAGTTTCTGTGTGGAGGGAGGAGGCAACAGTGTGATAAATCAGAGCAATTACTTCTGGATAATTTTTTGGTGAAAAACAATTTTCCAGACATCACTAGCCTCTTTACACAGTACTCAGACTGTGTCTTGTGAACACAGACTTCGAGATCTGTGTGGCTCATTCACCCTCGGGCACGTACCTGGGCAGGATGCAGCTCAGGAAGGTTCTGAAATGGGAGGGTGACTGAGAAGAATTCTCTCCAGCTAATTGCAAAATGAGGCTCAGATCAAGGAAGAGGTGCTCATCAGTGAGTCAGCTACATGTCAAGGCAGGTATCTGCTTTCTCAGTTCCTATTTCCACTGTCCTTTCAAAAATAGGCCCCCCAAAAGTCATTCATTTAAAAAAAATATTAGAGCATCTATTTGTTTGTTTATTCTGTTTCCTTCACTGGAATGTGTATTAGTCAGCTCTCTGTTGCTGTAACAAGATACCTGTGATAATCAGCTTACAAAGAGGAAAGGTTTATTTTGGTTCACATTTTTAAAGGTTGCAGTCCATGTGGCTTTGGGCTGTGGTGGGCAGTGTACCATGTGAGGAACAGTGCTAGAGCAAGCTGCTCCCCCCCTGGTGTCTGGGAAGCAAAGAGAGAGAAAGATGGGGGTTCAGGACATGCCCTAGTGAGCTCACTTCCACCCACTAAGCCCCACCTTTTAAGGGCAGGCTCTAGAAAAGGCCTCTGTGTGGCACTGCCAACTGCTGTACCTGGGCCTGTGGGGACATTCACGATCCAAAATCTAGCAGAATATAACAGGGAAAGCAAAGATCCTGTCTGTCTCATTCATGCTGAATTCCCAGAGCCCAGAAGAGTGCACATATTTATTTAGTGTACACAGCAACAGATATTTATTTGTATGAACAAATGGGTGAATGAATGAACGAATGAACAGACATGGTCCCCTTAGAGTTGTCCCTCCTTTATCTGCTGCAGATTCATCCCAAGGCCCTCAGTTGTATTGGAAACTGGAGAGTACTAAACACTATGCCCTTGATCTTAGCCAAAAGGCCAAGAAGTGATTTTTTTTTTTGGTACTGGGGATCGAACTCAGGACCTTGCGCTTGCATGTCAGGTGCCGGAAACACTAAGCTAAATCCCTGGCACTAAATACTATATATGCTATTTTCTCCTATCTACATGCACCACTATGATAAAGTTTAATTTATAAACTAGACACAATGAGAGATTAATAATAATGACCACAAACAGAATAACTAACAATATGCTCTAATAGTTATTTAAAATTTATGAATTGTTTAGTTTTGTAAATTTTCACAATATTTTCAGGCCATGGCTGTCAGGCGTAGCACGTGCCTATAATCCCAGCACTTGGGAGGCTAAGGCAGGCGGATATCTGCAAGTTCGAGGCCATCCTGGGCTACATAGTGAGTTCAAAGCCAGCCTGAACTAGGTAGCTACAAATTATACTATATATACTACTATATGTACTAGGTAGTACAAATTATATATTTTTTTCAGGTCACAGTAGACTGTGTGGCTTGGTTACTTTTCTCTTGTTGCTGAGGGAAAATATCCAACACCCAAAATTAAAGAGGGAAAAGGTTTATTTAGCTCACAGTTCATAGACGTTTCAGTCCATAATTGGCTGGCTCCAAGGCAGGGTGGCACGGCAGAGAGGCAATAGTTCATGGTGGGGGAAGACAGCAAAACCTAGCAAGCAAGCAAGCAAGGGAACACGGGAGGGGCCCTCAATATCATCTTCCTGCCCCTTTTATCTTATTCAGTTTACTAGGGTGGGGAGCACTCACACCCTTAATCCTAGTGCCCTCAGGCCTAGCATTGCACCGTGAATCAGTCACACACTGTGGACTGAGTCACTTCTGAAAAAGCCCCACCTAAGACTGCATGAGGCTTTGGGGGACATCTAGACACAGCCATAACATTGTGGGTAACTGAACCATGGAAAAGGGAGTGCTGTAATCAGAGCATGGCGGGCGCTGGACCCAGTCCTTCGCTTGGGGTAGCTTCAGCCCTCAGTGGAGTGGCCTAGGCTCACCGTGCATAAACCATGTCCTTTTCTTCCTTGTTATTTAATTAAAACAAAAAAATTTTCTTTTTTCCAGTACTGGGAATGGGACCCAGGGGCGCTCTTCCACTGAGCTTCTTTCCCAGCCCTTTTTAGTTTTAATTTTGAGAAGGGTCTTGCTGTCTTGCTCAGGCTGGACTCAAATTTGTGACCCTGCTGCCTCAGCATCCCGAGTAGCTGGAATTACAGGTGTGTACCACTATGCCTGGCAGCCAGGTCCTTTTCTAGGGCACCACTTCCAGGGCTGGTGCTGGGCACCTTGAGTGGGGTACAGAAGCAAAAAGCTGAGAAGCTGGGAACAGGGAGCCAGAGCAGAGCCTGGGCTGCAATCTAAGCAGCACTGTGTGTGGAGACCGGTACTCGCCAGGGATTGTTTTTCTTCCATCAACTTTGTGAGGATGTAATTTATGTACAAAGTCCATGCCCAATTTTTAAAAAAGGAATTTGGATCTAGTTTCCAAAGAAAGAGAAAGCCTAGTAAATCTAGACATTCTGGATGGGGAATTTTTGTTTGATGAGATTCCTCATAGGTGAGCCAGTAACCACCTTTGGGGTTTGGTGCTATAGGACTGGGGCCCCTCTGCCCCCTAGCACCTCCTGGATGGGTCTGGACAGCACTGGGCAGAAACAGGAAATGGGGTCAGACCATGTTTCAAAGTGTGTCACCTCCAATGTGCTGTGCCAGCTCTGGGCACCCCCTGGGGGTCTCCGGCCTGCCTCAGTCTCCTCATACGCATATTGAGCGTTTCAGAGGATGCTCTATGCATCACTGGGGCGGCCACCAACTTGTGCCCTAGTCCTACCTGGCTTTTCAAGCTCTGGATCTCCCTCTGCCTGGTGTTGCTGTCTTCATCTGGACCCTGGAACTTCTTGGGGATGCCACTGTCCCTCGGTCTGGAGGCGGTGGTCTCTGACAGCTTCTGATTCAGCCCGGCCACTTCGTTCTGCAGGTTTGCTATGACTACATCCTTATATTTGGATTCAAGCTCAAAATCTGAGAGACGAGTGACTTCTCTCCCCAGCAGCAGGATTATTTCATCCTGGGTAGAGATCAGAAGGGAAGCTTGCTAGGAGTGGCCCTGGGTATGACGTTGAGCCCATTCAAGAATACAGGACAAATAGGGGTCATGCTTCGAGGAAGGCGAGGACAGCCAGGGAGGGCAGAGGTAGACACTGAGGCTGCTCTGTGGCCTGGGAAGCCTCAGGTGGATGGCAGGCTCAAAATCACACAGTCATATACACAGGTGCCCATACTGGATGCTCGTGACTACTACTAGTATGGAAACTTTGCTCTGCCTTGAAATCACGCTTTCCTGCCACCTGGGAGCTTCTGTAGCCAGAAAGTTATTTACAATAGTTTTAGGAATTAACTTACCAGGCCTCAGTCTAGTGCACTGGGGACCCAGGAAAGGTAATTAGGAAAATGGCATCTGGTTCGAGCACATTCTGAGTAGAATGAGAGTCAGTTTTCACTGTAACACTAGGAATGCATTCCAAAGCGTTTCATTTTCCTGTTCTTTCTTTGGCACTGCCTGCTTCCTGGTTATGCACACAGAGCTCTGGTCCTGAGGACTCAGTCAGGAGGGGACTGGCAATTTGGTGTGAGCTCCAGAGACAGGGCTGGGGAACACCCGGCAGCCCAATCCATGGTGCAGTGAAGCTGGCTTCCATTCCTCCCAAGGAAAAAGCACTGTAGCCAATGAATTTGTTAGGTCTCCCCAACAGGGGGACAATTCCTCAAACTCTCACCAGAAAACATCAGTAAAATATCAGGAAGACTGAAAAAAATCCCCAAATGTACTTTCTCATGCAGCTGCAAATTTCTGATCCATTACTTGAGGGTGGGAGGTTGAACCCAGGTCCTGGTCCTCTCCTCCTCCTCCTCCTCCCCTCCTCCCCTCTCCTCTTCGCTCTCTCTCTCTCTCTGCTTAAATTCTTTTATTGGTACATTTTAGGTATACAATATGTTTACACTTATCATTGGGTGCTTGTACCTGTGCATGATGTATCTTTGTTCTTATTTTTTCCCCATTTCCTGTGTGCCCTTCACACTTCCCTATTTACAAAGACTGTTTCCATTTTTTTCTTTTCTCATTATTTTTCCTTTCCCTTTTCCCCTTTCCCCTTCCCCTCTCACTTCCCCTATCCCTTTGGACCTTTTCTTCCTATTTCAAATGATCAATTATTCGTTTTAATCATTTTAATCCTTATTTACACTTTCAGTTTCTCACACTAGAGAAACGATTCGGTATTTATACACGTGTGTCCTATTTATTTGGTTTAAGAGGATGGCCTCAATGTGCATCCATTTAGCTATAAATGTCTCTAGTTTCTCGTTCTTTATGGTTGAGTAGTACTCCATTTTATAAAAAAACCACATCTTCTTTATCCAGTTTCCAGTTGATGGGCACTTGGGCTGTTTCCAAGCTTTAGCTATTACAAACTG